TCTCCGCCCCGAGTCTCCGCCCCGAGTCTCCGCCCCGAGTCTCCGCCCCGAGTCTCCGCCCCGAGTCTCCGCCCCCAGTCTCCCCGATCTCCGCCGAGTCTCCGCCGAGTCCCGCCGAGTCTCCGCCCCGAGTCTCCGCCCCGAGTCTCCGCCCCGAGTCTCCGCCCCAGTCTCCGCCCCCAGTCTCCGCCCCAGTCTCCGCCCCCAGTCCCGCCCCCAGTCTCCGCCCCGAGTCTCCGCCCCGAGTTTTCCGCCCCGAGTCTCCGCCCCGAGTCTCCGCCCCCAGTCTCCGCCCCGAGTCCCCCCCCCCGAGTCTCCGCCCCGAGTCTCCGCCCCGAGTCTCCGCCCCGAGTCTCCGCCCCGAGTCTCCGCCCCGAGTCTCCGCCCCCAGTCTCCGCCCCGAGTCTCCGCCCCGAGTCCCGCCCCGAGTCTCCGCCCCCAGTCTCCGCCCCGGGCTCCGCCCCGAGTCTCCGCCCCGAGTCTCCGCCCCGAGTCTCCGCCCCGAGTCTCCGCCCGAGTCCCGCCCCAGTCTCCGCCCCGAGTCTCCGCCCCGAGTCTCCGCCCCGAGTCTCCGCCCCGAGTTCCCCTCCGCCCCGAGTCTCCGCCCCGAGTCTCCGCCCCCAGTCTCCGCCCCCAGTCTCCGCCCCGAGTCTCCCCCCGAGTCTCCGCCCCGAGTCTCCCCGGCCCCCCCAGTCTCCCCCCGAGTCTCCGCCCCGAGTCTCCGCCCCGAGTCTCCGCCCCGAGTCTCCGCCCCGAGTCTCCGCCCCGAGTCTCCGCCCCGAGTCTCCGCCCCCCAGTCTCCGCCCCGAGTCTCCGCCCCGAGTCTCCGCCCCGAGTCTCCGCCCCGAGTCTCCGCCCCGAGTCTCCGCCCCGAGTCTCCGCCCCGAGTCTCCGCCCCGAGTCTCCGCCCCGAGTCTCCGCCCCGAGTCTCCGCCCCGAGTCTCCGCCCCGAGTCTCCGCCCCGAGTCTCCGCCGAGTCTCCGCCGAGTCGCCTCAAATCTAGGCCCTCTAGTCACACTCTCTCTACAGGGCAGTGGTCTTTAGAGGCCTTGTTTGTAAATCCTAGCTCAGGAGAGCGATTTTCTTGCGTAGTTTGGACGCTGTGTTGTCGCGAAGTTGGGCGAAACGGCGACAAATGAATAGAAATTGCGATGTGGGGTGACTTTAAGCAGCCACTGCGTCTGATCCGAGGCGGTATTTCGTACCCCCTCAGTGGGCAATCGATCTTTGGACCTTCCTTTAGCACGCCTTTGTTACGCAGTGCGATTATCCAGCTTAGTTTGGAAGAAGCATTGTCTCAAAGTTGATCAAAACGGTCACAAATACCTTTGAAAAATCGTGTTTTGGGCCGACTTTAAGCAGCCACTGCGTTTGATCCGAGGCGGTATTTCGTACTCCCTCAACGGGCATTTGGTCTTTGGACCTTCCTTTGGCATGCCTTTGTTACGGAATGCGATTATGTGCCTTAGTTTGGGAGCAGTGTTGGATCAAAATGAGTCAAAACAGTCAAAAATGCCTTTAAAGTCGGTTTTGATCAACTTTGAGACAATACTGCTCCCAAACTAAGGCACACAATCGCATTCCGTAACAAAGGCATGCCAAAGGAAGGTCCAAAGACCAAATGCCCGTTGAGGGAGTACGAAATACCGCCTCGGATCAAACGCAGTGGCTGCTTAAAGTCGGCCCAAAACACGATTTTTCAAAGGTATTTGTGACCGTTTTGATCAACTTTGAGACAATGCTTCTTCCAAACTAAGCTGGATAATCGCACTGCGTAACAAAGGCGTGCTAAAGGAAGGTCCAAAGATCGATTGCCCACTGAGGGGGTACGAAATACCGCCTCGGATCAGACGCAGTGGCTGCTTAAAGTCACCCCACATCGCAATTTCTATTCATTTGTCGCCGTTTCGCCCAACTTCGCGACAACACAGCGTCCAAACTACGCAAGAAAATCGCTCTCCTGAGCTAGGATTTACAAACAAGGCCTCTAAAGACCACTGCCCTGTAGAGAGAGTGTGACTAGAGGGCCTAGATTTGAGGCAGTGGCCGCCCAAAGTCAGCCCAAATCGTGATTTTCATACATACATATTTTACCGTTTGACCAATCTGACAGGCGGTTTATCGAATTGGATGCTAAATAAAAGTTGTTAAACATAGTTTTCTGCATCGTCTCGTGATACTTGCTTGCCTCTAGGTCAAATAGATAAAGCATTCTAGTGGTATTAGGAGCAGTGATTTCAACTTTGAGCAACCATTGTTCAAATAGTGGTCGGCAGGGCAGAAAATAAAAGAATACTTGATTTCGTAAGTTCTGGACCATTCTAATTTAGCCTCTAGTGCCCTCTAGTGACTCTAGTGAAAGAAGGAAGCGGCGATTAGGTCCCGAACTGGGTTTTTAGAGATAGGTATAGAAATAATCAGCGAGACTCGAAACGCGCAACTACGATTTTTCGTGAAAAGGTTGATTTTGGCCCTGTTCTCATAATTTCTTAAAATCTCTGCGGTCCGGCGGCCGGCGATCCGGCGGACGGTTTCGGGGCCTCCTCGCCCGGCTCGGAGGGTCGCGTTCTTGTCGCTCACGTCTCTGTCTATTCTCCTGCGGGTGCGAGTGAAACAAAACTGCACGTGCGGATGCACCTATTGTCACCTCCCCCTGCCCCCGCTTCCTCGGCTGGGCTAGGCGGCGGAGGAGTGGGGGTGGGCTTGCGCTGCGGGGTTCGGGTGAAAGGGGGGCTCCCCACCAGGCCGTGGCGAGCCGCTCCACCCGGGGCCGGGCTGATCCACGCCGTCCACGCCGCTGCAGGGCGTTTGTATTTTAAAGATTCAAGCGAGGTCGTTCAACATTTTGCCGATCCGTTTGCGGGAAGCTACTTAAAACTTCAGCGCGCATCTCACCTTGATCTCCGTTTTTGGGGATACTGTCCCGCAAACTGAGCTGCTGTGGCCAAAACCTGTTGAACGGAAATGTTCAAAAAATGTTCAAATGAACGGTTTGGAACGCGGCAAAAACGAGCGAGGCCTGCCTCAGGGCATCACGAACGCGTCTGCCAAGTTTCGTGACAATCGGATCAAAAGTGAAGCCACGGCGACGTTACATTTGCATCGGTGCAACGCGCGCCTTGCCGCCCGCCGGGGGCCCGAATCCCCACTCCCGGCCGCGGGTAAAGCATCCTCTTAAGCAACCTGTGACATATGAAAAAACACTGCTTTACCCGACATGAACGCACTATGAACCATCAAATGCCGAAAATCATATAAAATTCTGTTTATAAAATGTAGTTTGCTCTTTTCAGGAGGACCATTGCGAACCAAAGTGAGTTTAAAAGTTATCATATTTTTAAATTAAGTTTATTTACCAGCTTTGACCGTTTGGCAGAATCAGTTGATCCACCCAAAGGAGCACAAATATTTAAGTGTGGTCGTAGCATTTCAAAGTTCAACGTTTGCATCTGCCCTAGGTTGAAGAGTTTTCTTTATTTTTACAAAAGAAAGTTAATCGTTTTTGTAGCATACTGCGCAATTTTACATCATTTCTGGAAAAATATTGTTTCCTGGTTTGTTTCTTCATGTTGCAACACTGCATCGCTGCATACAAAGTCAAATTTGAACGGTATATTGCGGGAAGAGGCGAAGAGGCCGGGTTGAGCTTTGAGATGACATTATGTTTCTTTTACGTTTGATTGACGAAGACCTTTGATGCAACTGAAATTTATGTAAGGCATTGTTCCATGCACAGTATTGTGTACTTAGGATTAAGATTCTATATCGACGGAACTTCGGAAAGATATCAGTGACTGAAGCTTCATCAATACAGAAATGGCGTATTTTTCCATTGTTGTATTTCTTATTTAAGTTGAATATCCGGCATTCGTTCCTTTATTTATCATAAAATGACGGTGATGATGTAACTTTGAACTTAAATTTTGTACCTTGCTTTGAAGGAACTGCAATAATTTTGTTTCGTGGCGGGAAGCGAACTCGGGGTAGTGAGGTTATCTTTAGAACCCACGAAAAAGCTCCTAGCCTTAATTAATTGCCTACTCATGTTCGAATTTTAATGGTTTTTTTTATTTGTTGTGACCTTTCCTGTTCATTTATGGCCAGTTCATTCTAGTTCTCATTCATGATTCTTCGAATCGTATGGATTCAGCCTCGTACTTGCTGTCAATTTCATTTGTGTTTTCAAATGAAGTTTTTGTCTTTGATTTCAGATTTTAATTTTGTGATTGCATCTCCATTCCAAAATGGAGCCTTCCAAAGAACCTGTCAGTGTGAGGATCACACGCTTGAATAACATGGTCTTGGGTAAAACTCCAAGGAGTCTCATAAGACGTGAGGGTCTCATCGATTCTCTTCTGGTTCTATATGATGAATGCAATAATGATTCAATGAAAAAGGACCCAAATATTGCTGCTTTTGTTGAGAAGTTTCGCTCCCCTGTCAGTGAAATTAGGGGCATGCGTGTCAATATTAGTGATTTTGAAGTGCGAAAAGTTATTGGAAGAGGGCATTTTGGTGAAGTTCACCTTGTGCGAGAAAAACAAACCGGGGATGCATATGCCATGAAGACTTTGAGAAAGAATGATACTCTCGGGAACAAAAGAGCTTTCTTTGAGAACGAGAGGGATGTGATGGCTATTGCCACCTCCCCTTGGATCACCTCTCTGCAATATGCTTTTCAAGATATGCACAATTTGTACTTGGTCATGGAGTTTCATTCAGGTGGTGATTTATTAGCCCTCCTTGATCGCTTTGGAGGACGTATTTCAGAAGAATTTGCAAGGTGCTTCTTATTACCCTTTTTTGAATTATGAAGCGTTTCCTGTTGGTTTTACTTTTTCTGAAATTTATGACACTGTTGCAGATTTTATTTGGCCGAGATCACCTCTGGAATCAGGAGCTTGCATCAAATGGGATATGTGCACCGTGACTTAAAGCCCGACAATGTTTTATTGGATCGCTGCGGTCACATAAAACTTGCTGATTTTGGTAATATCCTACAAATTGGACTCTTGATTATTTCATCCTGGAGTTGTTCTAATTTTAATCATTCTTATTAGGGTCATCTGCCAAACTGTCCAGTGCTGGAATTGTCCAAGCTGATATGCCTGTTGGAACGCCAGAATACTTGGCTCCAGAAGTTCTACTATCCATTGAAACAACTGAAGGGAAGGTCAAAAGTCGCTCAGCTGTCTCTCGATCTCCTCAAAACCAGTTTTCACCTTTGTATGGTGCAGAGTGTGATTTCTGGTCACTGGGCATTGTAGCTTATGAGCTGGTATATGGAAAGACACCCTTCAGAAGTGACCAGTTAGCCACCACTTATCAAAATATACAGTCACACAAGAAACAATTAAAGTATCCAGACAGCATTGAAGTTTCTAATGGTAAGAGAATTTTTTGTGTAATCCATATCCACCTAAACCAAGTACGAATGCAGACAACAACTTGTTAGCAAAGCTGTGAGGAATTTGTAACAAGAAATAGTTCACTCATCTTACTCTCATAACTTTTAAACGTATTTACCTAAAATTTGCCACAACCAGCTTTGGCTAGTTATGATACTTTTTATGTACTAAGCATTTATTACCTGTTTCAGATTTTAAGGATATGGTCTCTGGTTTGATTACGGATGCCAACTCACGCCTAACTTACGATCATTTGATCAAACACCCATTTTTTGGCGATGTTGACTGGGTGTCTCTGCGAGACATTGTCCCGCCTCATGTGCCTGTTGTGAATGGGGATGATGACACATCCAACTTCTTTGAGTTTGAAAGAATGCAGCCTGCTCCCTCTATTGAAAATTTCAAAACACACAAGGAGTTCTCTGGACGGAACTTGCCTTTTGTAGGCTTCACCTATGCTAGAGACTCTTCAACAGTGTCAAATCTCAGTGGTTCTGTTGACCCTCATTTAGAAAGGAAGCTTGAAGCTAAGAAAAAAGAAATCCATGGTCTTTTGGTAATATATATTTTATTAGTGATATGATGTTGCCTCTTGTACTTTCATAATTTTTTTATCATCCGTTTTTTTGTTGTTAAAAATTTCCACTTTTTTTCTGTTTTAGTCCAAGATCCATGCTTTAGAGGGAACTTCAGGGCGCAAGAATCATAATGCTGAGACTTTAGAAAAGAGGGCAGAAACAGCAGAGCAGTGCTTGGAATTAATTGAACAGGACAGATCACGTCTTGAAACTGAACTTGCACGCTCTCGGTCTGAACAGCAATCATTGCGAAGGGCCTTGGATCTGGAAATGCAGGAAACCAAGAACATGGAAGCTAGAGCCATGGAACTCATCAAAAGTGCAAAGGAGAAATGGGATCGCCTATATGCAAAAGAGCATAAGGAAAAGGACAAGAGAATTGAGCAGCTGACTGACCAATTAACTGCTTTAAATACAACCAACAACAATCTGATGTCAAAGCTGCTTAGACGAGATAAGGAACAGACACAGCTCAAAACAGAAGTAGCTAATCTTCAGGAACTTGTGAAAGAGTACAAGGACAATATGGCCAAAACCAGACAGTCTCAGAGAGAGAGTGTCTTGGATGTTCAAAGTCGGCTTAGTGAATTGGCCTCAGAAAGTCAAAAAGAGCTGTCGGAGCTCCAAAAGCGTCTAGATTCTGAGACACGTAAATTTGAACTCCACAAATCTCAGTTAGATAAGAAACGCCATGAGTTGGAAAAAGCTCTAGAAAAATCTCGTTTGGAGAATAAGATCTTAAATGACAAACTGGTTGAGAAATCTAATCAGCTGAAATATCTGGATCGCACTCGTGTTGCAGAGCTAGAGAAAAAGATTCAAATGGGCTGCACTAAGTGCACATTGTGGCAAGAACGTGTTGCCACTCTTGAGTCTGAACTTAGTGCCTCTATGATGTCCTTTGAGCAACATGAAACTACTATTGCTGAACGAGAAGGCCACCAGCTTGAAAAAGTCAGCAAAGAGAAATCTGATTTAGAAAACCGCCTACAAAACTTTGCATTTAAGGAAGAGGAAAATAAAGAAAAACTTGCTTCTTTAGAAAAGTTGATGCAGTCTCTACAGGGAAGTGTTGACAAACTTGAAGAAGAAAACGCCAAACTGAGAGACCAAAATTCTGCTCTTGTGAAGTATAAGCGTCGCTCATCTATTGGTACTATTGGTTCCAATCTCCCTACTGCGTCGCCTCGAGCTTCAACCACAACCACAGTTACCACAACTACTGTTGTAGCATCTAAAGCTGAAGCCAGTTTAGAACCTGCCTGCAATGATAATATGGTATACATTCATTTTCTGTCAACAGTGCATGTTTAATTACTGTTTGTCTCTAATAGTTTCTTTGTGCTGTCATTCTCACATTCTCATTTCAGGATGAAGCCAATCATTTCCAGCTTCAAGTCATGGAAGCTAATATTAACAAGCTTGAATCTCAACTTGACAAAGCTAAAGAGGCTGCCATCTTGGATCGTCAAGCTGCCCAAACAGCCCGCTCTGAACTCTGGCGTAAAGAGAAAGAGTTGTCAGATGTCAAACTGGATTTGCGTATTTCTGAGCGTGAAGTTAAAAGATTGAAAGAAGAGACCACAAAATTAGAGGTATTTATTTTATTTGGTGTTTTCCGTGCTAAGTAATCTGTATTACGCTTTTATTTGCTCTTATGTTGCTTTTTTCCTTATCTTATTTAGAGTGCCAAGGCAAAGCTAGAGGATGACATTAAGAAAGATCGTGAATTGAGAAGAACTGAGAAGGACAAAATTTCTCAATTAACACGTGAGCTTGAAATGCTACAAGCGGAACTTAAGCAGGACAAGCTATCCTCTTCAACTTTAACAGAAACCTTGGCTAGTTACAAAACGGACCTAATGGCCAAAGAGGCAAGAATGAAAGAACTGCAAGTAGATTTAACGGCTGCCAACAGACAAGTTAGACTACTGGAGCTGCAAGTTAATAAGACGGATGAAACTTGTAGTGAATTGCGAGATGAAAAGAAAAGGATTCTACAGCAGGTAAATGTTTTATTTTCTAATAAGTTGGTATTGTATGTCTCTTCCATTGAGGTCTCTTAATTTGTTTTCTTCTTACTGCTGTGTTTCAGCTGGATGAAGCTCAACGAAGTCTCCAGAGGCTTGAAGTTAACAGTAATGTACTTAAAGAAACATGCACTATGTTGGAAGAGCAGCTTGAAGATTTTGAAAGACTGACTTCAACCCATGAAGCTAAAGAGGCTCGGCTCCATGAAGAATGTTCCAAACTGCATGTAAGTTCCTAATGTGCTATTTCCAACTCAACTCCTTGCTTGTAGTTAATTTACATGACTAACAAAAAATTTCTCCTCCTTTTATTGAATATTTTCAAAACCAGACAGACATTGAAGTTGTTCAGAGTGAACTGCGTCTCAGCAAGCAAAATTTGAATGAAGAAAAGTCCTTCCGTGCTCAGGCAGAAGCTCGTGTTCAAGTATTGGAATCCCAATTAGAAGAATGCAAAGCTTCTCTTGCTCAAGCACGTGAGCAGGCTTCGGAATACAAGAGTCTTGCCGAACGACTTACTCAGCAAGTTAACAACACAGATGAACATACATCCCAGTTAGAGGTGACCTTGCACTCTGCCCAACGCCAAATTGCTAATCTTCAAGCAGAGATGATTGGACTGAAAGAAGAGGTGACCACACAGCTGACTCGGATCCATACTCTGAAGGAAACAAATCTCAGGTACCACTTGATCTATTTTTATTTGTTTTTGTTTCATCATTTACTTTTTCCCCTAGTGTCTGTATTTATTCATTTCCTTCTTCACAGGTTGGATCTGGAGCTCGAGGAGAGTGCTGAGGAGGAGAGGGCTCTCTTGGAAAGAGTTGAAAGGCTTCAGTCAACCATATCAGAAATGGAGGCATGTCATCGCCATCGCCAGGTGAAGAGTGATGCCACCCTCCAGCAACAGGCTAAGCTGATTGATTATCTGCAGCAAAAACTTGAAGAGCAAGGACGCAGGAAGAAGACACTGACAGACAAGCTGTTTGGAAAAAAGGATAAGGAAAATCAAATGAACAGTGCAAATATCATAAATGCTGGGTGAGGATAGGCTCTCTCTTTCTTTTCTTTCATTATGGACTCCACTGTTCTATTAAACTTTAATTTCTTGATTTCTTTTGCCCAGGTTTAAAGAGTTGGAGTCCCAGCTTTTGCAAGAACGCAAAAAGGCCCAGAAGCTAACAGATGAAATTGTTCGATCATCTGTTCATGGGCCTAAAAGTACACCAAGGGATAAGGAGAAGGAGAAACACTCCTCCACTGTGCCGGATCCAGAGGTTCTCTCACCAACAGCTGCCAAACATTTGGTGCTCTCACCAGGATCTCAAGCGATCAAAAGCCAAGGGTCACATCAACGAATGCATCATAACATACCTCACAGGTGCCAGTACTCATCATTTATTCATTTTTAATTTTCTCTTTCCTTTTTGTTTCTTTTTACCAAGTACTCAGTCTTGATCTTTCAGATTCGAGCTCAAGGTCATTATGAGATCTTCAAAATGTGCCGCTTGTCAAGATGGTTTACCCTTTGGGCGTCAAGCTGCAACTTGTCTGGAGTGCGGTGTCACCGCCCATCATCGTTGCATTGCTCTTCTGCCTTCAACCTGTGGGTTACCTTCTGGCTTTGCTCGCCACTTTTCCCAAAGGTGGAAGAAATCGAGAGATGGAGAAAGTGTTAGTAGTCAAAATGATGCTCCATGTTCCACAGCTGTTAACATGGAAAGCTGGATGAAACTTCCTACGTAAGTATTTTTATTGAAGCGCCTTGTGCTGCTTTGAATATTTCCTTGAATGAGAAACATTTCTCTTTGTCTCCAGACGAGGTAACGCATGTTGGGAACGGCGATACGTTCGTCTTGCGGGCAGTGAGTTGCTCATATTTTCCCATGAACCGTCTGCTAATTCTGCACACATGTCACCTATTGAACGGTACCCTCTCTGCCCTGCCGACGGTATTGCCTCTGTGAGCTCAGCATCTCAGACTGATGTGGCTGGAACTGCTAAGTCTGATGTGCCTTATATCATCAAGGTACAATGGCTTGTTTTTTAAAATCTATTTTTCTTGTGGGCATTTTTGAGTGTTTTTGTCTGAATGCAACACAATCTGTTCAGGTGGAAGTGACACCTCGTACTACTTGTTGGCCTGGATCTACACAATATCTAATGGCTTTAAGTGCGGTAGATAAGGAAAAATGGATAGAGGCCTTAAAAGCAGCGATTCGAGCGGGAGAAGCTATGAAGGGCACCACAGCCTCTGATAGAAGTCGGCGTTATTGTGGTCAAGTTATGGTTCGTCTCCCTCAAGAAAACAAGTTAGATGTTTCATGCATCTTGCACATCAACAATCAGGTTAGTAAAATTTTTGATTGATTTCATATTTGTTTCGTTTATTTATAAATTGTACAAATTTGTTTATCACTTTTTTTCAGGTCATGCTCCTGGGAGCAGAGGAGGGTCTCTTCTCTTACCACTTGAACAAAGAAAATGCTAAACCTGTGAAGATAGGTGGTGTTGGTTCTGTTTATCAGATGACTGTCATGTCAAATCGTGGGATTGCAATTATGATTTCTGGTAAAAATAGAGAAGTGCTTTTCTGTGACTATGCTCAGTTGAAATCTTGTGCTGAGGCAGCTGAGTGCACTCAAGCAGTTCTGAACACCAGGCCTGTGTTTGCTCATGGTAGCACAAGCAGCACTGACGGTTGTTTCCAATTAATTGCAACTTCCAAGCCCAATGAATCAGGAACCACCACAGACATTCTCTGTGCAGCTTCAGCTAAAAGACTAGTGTAAGTCTCTTTGAATGAAATCCCTACCAAGAATATGTGCATTGCCAAACAAAATGAATATCTTGAAATCTTTGTATTTTGTTTCAGGATTTTCAAGTGGACAGGTGAAGGTGGCTTCCAGCAACTTAAGGTTTTGGAAACTCAAGAACCCTGCAGTTGCATTTTGTTGACACCTCATTCAATTATTGTAGGATGTAACAAATTTTTTGAGATCGATGCTCAAGATTTTTCAGTTGAAGGTAATATTGTTGTTCTATTTCTTTTTCATTATTGTTCAGTGCGTTTTTCGTTTTATTACAACTCTTTAAAATAATTTTATTTTTCTCTTTTTAGATTTCCTTGATGTGTCTGACAAATCATTGTCGCACCTTATCTCTCTTGCTAAAAAGACCAACAGTTTCCCCTCTGCTATTTTGGATGTCACAATGACAGGAGGAAGATGTTCACCTGAGTATTTAGTCTGTTTCCATGAAGTGGGAGTATTTGTTGACCAATATGGCCGCCGGTCTCGGGAGGAGGATATCAAGTGGGCCCATGTGCCTTTTGCTTTTGGTATGTCAACTATGTGCATTTTATATTTTCTTCTCTATCACACTTTCATGTTATATCTGTTAGTGGACTATTTTTTCTTTGCAGCATTCCGGAAACCGTTCCTCATGATATTCCATTTTGCGTCAGTAGAAATTATGAGACTTTCCCACACTAGTTTTACTCGCAACCTGAATGACTCTGGGTCTACCATTAGTGAGTGCCCTGCATCCTCTGTGATAGAATTGAACAGCCCTCTCTACCTGGGAGACACCCTGTCATTTGGTTCCGTGTATGCCAGCAATATCCCAGCAAATGGTGTGGAAATAGTTCGTCTTGATGGTGCTCTTGCATGCCCTGATGAACTGGGTTACAGCTGTACCAGTCTAGAAACAGCCTCAGACAATAGGTATTTATGTTTTCCCTGCTCTTCCCTTAAATGTTTTGAAATGTATCATTGCATTGCTTTACATGATTTTCCTCCTCAACAGAGATGAGGCTATTGCTGAAGTGCGAGATGTTTGTGAATTTAGTTTCACATCTTCAATTGTTCAAAGTCTTGAAGAATCAGATGAGGAAACTGAAGATGCTCGCAGTTCAAGCCATCAAGGCAGTGACACGCAATCCTCAGGTCAAAGTGATATACACTCTAGACATGTGCACTTTCGGAAAGCATCCACTTCCACTCTCCACACTGCCATGTAAGAATATGTTATGTTCAATGGTGCACGGTCATTGAACTATAAAACTGAGGAATTATGATCTCAGGAAATCTAAATGGTGTATGCTTCAAGTAGCTTTTGTCATTCTTGCCTCTATAGGATACGTTAGAAGGATGTTACTAATTTTCTTAGTGCATGACATTTATATGTATAAAGATTTCCATAACAATGATGTTTTTATTTTTTAGACATCTGCTGTTCTTGTAATTCAGTTATTCCTTTACTGTCCATATTTTAAATACCAGTAATTAATTTAAGATTTGTTTCATGAACATTCCAATTGTTCAATGAATTCTATGACAGCATACTACACATCTCCAGTGAAAACTATTTATTATAATTCATTTAAGTCTTAACATTTCCTTTTATGAGATAATGCTGTGATCTTGCCAATTTGGTGTAATGTATATTTTAAAAATAATTGATCCAGTCTGATTTTGTCATCCATGATTTTAATTGAAGTCAAATAAAAGAAATATTGCCACATTCGAAACTCTCATTTCCCTCAAACTTTATGAAAACATGTTTTCAGTACAAAAACATCCAGTTAGATTCAATCAAAACAATAATGTATATTTCAGAGCTGCAGAGCCAGAACCTTATCAAAATCAAACCTTACCATAAACAGAGTATTGCTAAAGTAGCTACATTGACAGAGAAGCCATTTTGATCACAGAATTTCATATTAGCATTCACAACACGAGAAAATCTAGTTGAAATAGGCCATCGCCACAGGCAGTGGGGAACGCCTGAAGCGCCCTTGCTGGTTACTTTCGCCCTGGCCACCCCTCTCAGACTGCTCTTGGTCGGGCCTTGCCGGCGGCTGTCCGGACTGCCCCATAGGCTGCTGTCCGAGACCGCCCTGCTGCATGCCTGCGCTTTCCTGACGGTTGCTATCGGCGTTGTAGGCAGACCTCCTCATACGGCTAGCCGCCAGGGTTTGGTTTCCAGATCCACTCTGGGCGCCGGCCGTACTAGGTTGCTGTCCTCCCGCGACCTGGCCTTGCCCAACTGGCACGGCAGGCACCTGTCCACGCCCGTTACAGGGAGAACGCTTCATGCGACCGCCCTGTTGCTGGTTTCCGGATCCCTGCTGTCCATCGCGCTGTCCACTGGGTGGGCTGCCTTGGGGCATGCCTCCGTTGGGCTGCTGGCCGTTGTTCTCAGGGTCGTGGGGAGACCTCCTCATGCGACCGCCCTGTTGCTGGTTTCCGGATCCCTGCTGTCCATCGCGCTGTCCACTGGGTGGGCTGCCTTGGGGCATGCCTCCGTTGGGCTGCTGGCCGTTGTTCTCAGGGTCGTGGGGAGACCTCCTCATGCGACCGCCCTGTTGCTGGTTTCCGGATCCCTGCTGTCCATCGCGCTGTCCACTGGGTGGGCTGCCTTGGGGCATGCCTCCGTTGGGCTGCTGGCCGTTGTTCTCAGGGTCGTGGGGAGACCTCCTCATGCGACCGCCCTGTTGCTGGTTTCCGGATCCCTGCTGTCCATGCGCTGTCCACTGGGTGGGCTGCCTTGGGGCATGCCTCCGTTGGGCTGCTGGCCGTTGTTCTCAGGGTCGTGGGGAGACCTCCTCATGCGACCGCCCTGTTGCTGGTTTCCGGATCCCTGCTGTCCATCGCGCTGTCCACTGGGTGGGCTGCCTTGGGGCATGCCTCCGTTGGGCTGCTGGCCGTTGTTCTCAGGGTCGTGGGGAGACCTCCTCATGCGACCGCCCTGTTGCTGGTTTCCGGATCCCTGCTGTCCATCGCGCTGTCCACTGGGTGGGCTGCCTTGGGGCATGCCTCCGTTGGGCTGCTGGCCGTTGTTCTCAGGGTCGTGGGGAGACCTCCTCATGCGACCGCCCTGTTGCTGGTTTCCGGATCCTGCTGTCCATCGCGCTGTCCACTGGGTGGGCTGCCTTGGGGCATGCCTCCGTTGGGCTGCTGGCCGTTGTTTCAGGGTCGTGGGGAGACCGCCTCCTTCGGCTGCTGGATGACGGCGACACAGTTGACGGCATCCCCGTGGGCACTCCGCCGGGCGGAGGTGGGCATTTTCCATCCGGTGGCGGTCCTGGTGGCGGTCCCGAAGGAGGTCCCCCGGTGGAGTTTCCCGTCATCCCCGGAGGGCGGCAGTCGGAGCTGGAGCTGGAGCTAGTGGAGTTGGTCGCAGCTGCGTTCGCCACCTTTCGAACCAGTCGAGGCGCTTGCATTAAAAACTCTGGTCTGAGAAACCGCTCCAATGGGGGACGTTTACTTACCGCGACGAGGAGCAGCGCGGCGAACAACGCGGTCAAGGGCCCCATCGTGGACGAACGCTCTGTCTGAGATGACCGGAGCCGAGCTCCAAAGTGCGCCGTGCGGCCCGCCGCCGCCAAATATGTACGAATCGGCGGACACGCTCCGGTGCTCCGCGTTCGACTTTGTATGGTGGGTCAGCTTTATTTTGACAATGGCCATGGCCAGGGCCGAGAGAGGGACGGAGTGCGGTGGATATAGTTTCGCTCTTTCGCACACAGCCGCACCTCGTCGCCCTGGTCGCCCGCAGTCCGCGATGACAGGGCAAGTGGGCACTAAACGCACTCTCGGCGGACGAGTGGAACATGTGCTGTACAGCATAGCGCCCAATTTCCGGTCTCATTGGCTCTCGCCGCTCCCGCAGTGTCCGTGTCATCCATCCCCCTTCTGCGCTTCTGCTATGCTTCTGCGACGAACGCCTGGCACGTAGGCCTCCCAGCGGCCTCCACACACCCTCGTCGCCGCGTTGCCTACCTCACAGGCGCTCCAGGCCTCGAGGCATTTACGAGCGAAAGTGTGACGCGCCGGGGATAAAGGAGGAAGGATAGGGGTGGCGCACGCAGATGGACGGAGTGAGGGAGAGGGAGCCAGAAGTCGGGGGGCCGGTGGCCTAGACTCGGCCGGCGTGTTGTCGCGTTGTCTGCATGCAGCTTTTACTCGCAACGCAAGCTACGCAACGGCTTTCACTGGACGAGACACCCGCATCGCCTGCACTGCCATGGCACTGCCATGCTCCGGGCATTGATAACCTGCGCGGGGAGGGGCTGCGCTTTGCTGCGCCGTTGCACGCCGACCGCAGTGGCAGTCGCAGTGGCAGTCGGCGAACGCGACCGGGGAACAATGGTTCGCGAGAGGTGAGCGAGTCGGGGATCAAGGGATTCGGATTCGGGATGGCTGCACCCGAAATGATGGTCGGCGGCCGAAGCCGAAGGTTGTTCCTCTCCTCTGCGGAAGTGCATCTGTGTTGGCCAGCCGCCAAATTAACGTGCCCCGTCCGCGCCGGACAGCCTAGTGTCGATGGAGCGCGGTCCAGTCGACTCATAATTCCGTGCTTCCGGCCTTCCTCCCATACAGGCGCAGCGTGGCGACCACGACGCGGACACTGGCGGTGCTGGCGGCGCTGGCCGCGTGCGCGCCGCGGAGGGGCGTCGACGCCGACCTCTGGGGCCAGCACGCTGGCATGCACGCCACCGCCTTGGAGGACGCGGGCTCTGTCTGGGACAACCTGATCGCCTCCTCGTCCTCGTGGAGGGCGGACGAGCCGGCCCCGCCGCCCCAGGCGCTGGCCACCACGGAGCAGCCCCCCGCCCCCGCCACCCTGGCGTGCAACTACTCGGACTGGCGGCCCCTGGCGGCGCCGTGGCCTGGTGAGCGCCCTCCGTGGACTTCCCCTGGCGAGTCGAGGCGCCCGCAAAGCCGAGCACAGGCCGTCCCGCGGCACAGGGGTGTTCGGCGGGACTGCCTACCTCGCTACTGCAGGCGCCTGGCCGGCCACCCGCGACTCGCTCGTCCCCCGGGCGGAAGAAACCGAATGGCCTGCCAGTCAGTTACTGAATGACGTTTCCGACAGAACGTCTCCAGGAGTGGGACCGCGTCGACACGCAGCCGACCCAGAGGCCGCGCCCTTTCAGGCCTAGCCAGCCCCTCGTGGTGCGGCCCGCCGCCGCCGCCGCGCCCCCGTCCGCGCCCCGCCCTGCTTCGCCGCCATCCAGCTGCCCCGCCCCGCCGCCCCCGAGCTGGCCGGGCTGGCTTCCGGCGCCGCCGGGCCGCCCCTCGACCTCCTCTACTCGCCAGACCCGCTGCCGCCGCAGGCCTTGGACGCCGCGGCTGGTCTTTCAAGTAAGTGTCATTCCCATAAATAAGTTGCATCGCCGTCGTGCGCGGCGGCACAGCGGCGCAGCCAAGCAGAAGGCGGCGCCACTGCGCCACTGCGCCACTGCGGCGGCTGTGCCAAGCAGCATCCTCCCGGTCCCGGCCGGGGAACGACCAAAAACATGGGTATCTTGTATCTTATCCCGAAACGCTCCGCGCGCTGCAGTAGGCACCGTGTCAGGTGAGCGCCGGAGAGGGCGTCGATCACTTCAGTTATCGCAGCAGCGTCGTCCACTCCACACTCCACGTGGTGAGCGGGCGGCGCGCGGGGCGCCTGCTGTGCCCGCGGGCCGCGACTCCCGCCGAGTGGCGCGGCGTGGCGCGGCGTAGCTATGGCACCTGTCGAGGCGCTGTTAATGCTCCCCTCCAGTCCAGGCGGTGTAGGCCCTACAAAACACTGCTGCACTTCATGGGGAGCCGCAGGGTCTGCAGTGGGACTGCCGCTGGCGTTGGCTTCGTTTTTCCGCGCCGTCCCGGAGACTTGGAGGGGGCCCGAAGCAGACCATCCGCGGGCCTGCAGTGCTGCAGAATGTCGCTGTCTCTCTCGCACTCATGGGGCGTCCCGTAGAAGTGCGACAGAGACAGAGCGACGAAAACGACTCTCGGAATCAGTCTGCTGGGACGGGGACGGGGCGACACTACTCTGCCGCCAACAAGGCCATTGTCTGGGAGCGAGAGAGAGAGAGAGAGCGTCGCCGTTTACGGCCGCTCGTTTAGGGCCCGTCCAAAACGCAGGCGCTGAGTAAATGTCAAGCCGGCCCAGCCCGGCCCAGCCGCTCGTTGTTCCGCGTTCCATGATTGCAGGATGCCTGTGGACGCTCGTCGCCCCTGCCGGCTACAACGTGTCGGCCGCCGTGGCCATGGGGGCGTGGGGGCGTGGCGGCCGCGGCGTGGTGCACCTGTACGCGCAGACGGAGGCCGGCGACCTCAGCCCCGTGTTTAGGTGAGGCTGTGGGCTGCACTCGAGCCCCGTCCTCGACGACGCCCTGCCCTCGTTGACGCCACCCTGTCTTCTCCGCAGCCTCCACGCCCCGGCGCAGTCCAGCGCCGAGGTGCACACCCGCTCCAGCGTGGCCGTGCTGTCCACGGCGCTGCCGGCCTCGGCCACCTTCACGCTGCGCGTGTCCCTCACGCTGGCGTCAACGTCGTCCTGGTCTTCGGGTGCCGCCGCCGGCGCTGCCCTGGCGGACACACTGCAGCCGCCCGCGCCCACGCGACCCTGGCCGTCGTCACCGCCAACCTGGAACCCCGCCCTGCCCTATCCGGCCTCGCTGGGCCACGTGGACGCGGAGACCGTGGACCTGACGCACCAGCAGCAGCACCAGACGGCCAACTGCGTGGTGGCGGGGCCGGCGAGGCCGGTGGGGCAGGGGGCTGCCGACGAGGGGCACCCCGCGCGCCCACCTGCCGGGGCCAACGTCACGGCCGACGAGCAGCCCCCTCTGCCGGCGTCCAAGCCCTCCACGACCACGAGCAGGCCCTCCACAACAACAACAAGCCGGCCCAGTACAGCCAAACCCGCCGCTACCACCGCACGCGATAAGGCGACGACGGCGGCCCCCGCGACGACGCCGACAACCCCCGCCAAGGCACCCTCGGCAGCGCCAACACCGTCGCCAGCGACCACGAAGAAGCCTGGTCGCTAGGTCTGGCGGACCAGGTCACCGCAGTTCGCCCGTTGGCCCGCCCTGGACCCTGGGCCTTGGACCTGAGCCCTGAGAGGAGGGGGTCTTGTTATCTATAGCCTCGCCGCGCTGCGTCGCGCTGCCGGGCTGAGGTTTCATTTGGCGCCTCTTGAGTCGCCGCACCGCGCGGTACGGCTGTACGGTTGTACGTGCAACGCGCGATCAGGGTCAATAGCACACCGCGCAATGGCGACCCGCCGGCCGCCGCACCGCCACACCGCGGCCCGCAACCAACCGGAGTTTGCTGCCGCCAACGCCAAGGCGCAGTGACCCTGGTTGCAAGTTGCAACGCTCTCTCTAGTCACAAGAATTTTGTAAAATAGCCACCCACCGGCTTATCTAGCGTACTCTAAATAAAGATAAGGAACTACCAACTTCCAGACGTGCCTCTGCCTCTCTGCGTGATGGCTGCGGGCCGCGGCGGGGGGCCTCGCCACTGTCTCCCCTTTGCCCCTCGCCGCAGCCCCCGCAGCCCTCGGGGGCCGTCAGGCACACCCGGCCAACACCCGGCACACCGCGAAAACGCCCCGCGGCGGGCCCCGCCCACCCTGCCAACCGATTCCGAGATCGCCGTGTCGTCGCTCTGGCTCTCTCGCACCCCTACGGAACGCCTCGCGAGTGCGACAGACAGGGCGACGACACGGCTCTCCGAATCCGTCTGCTGCCAAGCGCCTGACAGTGCCCCTCTGTCCAGACCCCAAGAGGGGCCCGGTGGGGCCCAGTTGCCCGGTGGGGGAGAGAAAAGGGGCGTCGGCCGGGCCGGGACTGTCTAGAGGCCGACTCCCCGCTTCCTGTCTTTCCTGTCGAGCCGGCTGCACTACAAAACCCCCACAACAACTTCACTTTTGTCTGCGCGGAGTCCTTGCGCGGACCGTGGCCGCTCAATTTTCAGCGCCTCGGAAGTAAAAGGCGGTGAGGCGTGTCCTGACGTCCTGACCGGCGGAGCTGTTTCGCGCTGCACGCACTGCACGCCCTACGCAAGCGGTCAGCGCGGTCGGGGCGGTCACGTGACGACCGGGACGCGACGACGCGACCTTGATTCCAAGCACCGCGTCGCAGGAGCCACTCGACGACGGCCAGGGGGGCACGGGGTGGCGCGTGGCGGGCGCAGGGCGGGCGCAGGGCGGGCGCAGCGAGCCGAGCGATGGCCCGTCGGGGTGCGAGAGAGGCTGGGTGCAGCCCCGCCGCATTGCCTCCCGGTGGATGTGACACGTGACGCCACCACGACAGCCATAAAACGCTGAGACGCGGCTTTCTGGGCGCATTCCCTCTCCTGTCCACTGTTCGCTGTCCTGTTTTTCGCAGTGTGCGCGTGGCGCGGCGTGGCGCGGCGTGGCGTGCTAACCGAGAGGCGGCTTGCCGGGCTTGCCACTACTGTACGCGATGATAGTACACAGTTACACGGTGCGGCCAGTGCACGTGCCCTGGAAGGGCGTGCCAGTGTGCCAGTCGCTCGCCCGGCCGGCAGGCCAGCCAGCTTCTAGCAAGCAGTTATGCAAGTTAATCGCCTCTCGTTGTCATCTCTCTCTCTCTCTCCCTCATTCGTCCCACGAGACGCGTGCGACAAAGCACACCGACCGGTAGAGGGTGACGGACATGTCGTCGCGTTTACTCACCACCAATTAGGCAAAATTTGACAATTTCTAACTCAAAAACTAATTAATTAAGACTAAAAGTAGCCCCCGTAACTGCTTCAGGACGCGCGGTGCCCAGTCAAAATCCCAAGCCACACCATGCATGGAATATATCAGCCAAGATGAGCAGCAAATACACAACACGCTGGGAGCGTGACGCAACCCGGCGCAACGTCTCTGCGGGGGAGGGGGAAGGGGCTGCCTAACGCGGTGGCCCTGCAATCGCGCTAGTTTGGCGCGTTTCAAATTTGTGCTCAGCTTGCTCTAAACCACACGAAACGACCGTCAACAGCACTACTCGACGCAGCACTCCACTCCACACCCACTGCTGCACCTGCGCCTCGCCTGATGCCATCCATGCCATCTCGACAGCCACCTGGCTTGGAAAATTTAGGGGGGGGGAAGGAGCATGATTCCACATTGCAACATCGTGGAATGAAACGTGTGGGAGACATTGGCGAATCAAAGAAAGCCCAGACCCTAGAGCCCTAGAGCCCGAAACAAGGAAGGATCACGGCCCTCGCGGACCTCCCTGGAGGGGAGAGGGCGGGAAGAGGGGGTGGGGGGCAGGGCACGGCACGGCACGGCGAGCGCGCGCGCGCTCAGCTCGTTGTAGCAGACGGCACCTACACCCGATGGCCTTAGCGGCGTCCCCTTCTTCAGGGGAGTAACATCTTTTTCTCAAGGAACTTTGTCACTTGGACATGGATAACTCAACTTTAAGTCGCACCTCTGGTTCAGAAAAGAAAGTAAGTAGTCCCAACCTTCTTGATAAATTTAAAACATGATCGTTATGACATGCACTGGTCTGTGGTAGCAAGCCTTTTAACCTCTTTTCACGAACGTGTTACGAAAGTTTTTGAATGATTAGCTGTAAATTTAGCATTTTGAGGGTTTATAATTCGATTTTGGCGGGTGAAAGAATGTTTCTTGGAACTGCGGGAATAGATTTAGCTTAACCTCTAATTAAGGGAGGTATGAGGTAAACCAACCAGTTCTTTGACTTTCCTCAAAGCAATTTTATTGTCAGTAATTTTGAAGTTTGTTGTCTTCTTGTTGTTCTATTTCAAATCAATTTTATTGAGGAATGAAGTTTTGGCTTAGTGCCTAGTGCAAGCTCTCGGCAGCCCTTGAGTTATGTGAATGTGGAGTACATCACTTTATCGGCTTGATTTTATTTCAGATGGACCAGAAGCTGCAATGCAATAATTGTGCCTTGTATCTTCTTTTGGCATCAGTCGTTGGCTCTATGAGCATTGCTGGAGTCTCCCTTTTACCACTTCATCCAAGTGACCACATACCCATAGCACTAGGAGCCTGGCTTTCAGCCTTGGGATTAGTATTTTTTGTATCGTTATTTGGTCTTATAAATCATGTTGGCCTTAAAACAAAGCTAGGCCACCTTTGCCGTAAAAAGTACCAGCTTACGATAGGTGATGTACTAGATATTTCTAACAAGTGAGTATTGTAAAACATGAACCTTGCCATTACTTTTATTTTGGAACCTGCCTACATTCTAATCTTTGTTACAGAATTGTGTCAGCCGTCCAAGCTGTTCTATCATGCTTCACTGGTGTTGTTGTGTGTGCATGGTCATGCACTCGAAATTTTCTGCGCTCTAATCATTTTATGTCAGAAGCGTATGCATGGTTTGGTGCTGCCTACTTCTTTTATGACATTTGGTCAATGTACAAGGTTTATGTTTGTACGGCTGTAAATGGAGCTATAAATGGTTCTGTGGTCAAAGAAAAGCAAAAAAGCCGTTTGAGGAAAATTGCTGATTATCTTGTAACTCAGCCCCTCATAATTTTGCACCACATATTTATTGGTTCATTTGGTTTCCTTTTAATTGTCGTAAGTAATCTTTGACAGTTCCAGTTCAGTCAGTTTTAGCATTGCTTGTACCATGTCACTCATCCCTGGATTTGTGTTTTTCAGTATCTCCGAGGAGGTCTAGGTGATTGTGTATTTGGATTTGTTTATCTCATGGAACTCAGTACTCCATTTGTTTCAATAAGGGGTATTCTGAGTAAACTAAAGGTATTTTTCAAGCATTTTTCATCTTCATGAATCAGTAAATATTACCTTGAGAAGGCCTGTTACCTTATTTCAATTTGTTACAGATGAAAGCATCTAGCCTTTATGTTGTAAATGGCTTAACCATGTTATTTACTTTCTTCCTTTGCCGGTTGGCTATGTTTCCATATGTGATGTACATGTACAGTGAGTTTATTAATCAATCCATTTGGGAGGTGAGTACATTTTCTCTGCTTCAAATTTGAAACTAAGGTTTCTTTGCAATTTTACATTGGCTTAAATTGAAAATTTCTCTTTCTTTTACAGGCTGTGCAGAGTCTACCTACAGGTTGCAAAGTCAGTATGGCTATTCTGACACTACCACAGTTTTATTGGTTTTCTTTGATGACCAAAGGGGCTGTGTCAATATTTGCCAAGAAAAAGGTTGCCAGCCCTATCTCTAGCAAGAAACCTTCATGTTCACCATTGACTAGTGGTGCAAGTGATGTGAGGCAATGAATCTTGCTTGTTTTTGATGATTGCAGTTGCATCTTAGTCCATTTCTTCTTCTAATCAGCACAACTTCATAGCATGCTTTTATTGACCGTAAAATATTAAAAAAAGTGAAAAAAATTATTTTAAGAATATTTTGAACTTGCATGCTTTTAATGTGGTGTTAATATTATACTGTATCTCCATGCTTATTTCTCCTCAAAAGAATGAGGCCAGTCCTCACATATTCAAGTCCTGAGTAAGCCTTAAATGTAGGACTGGTCTTTTCTTTTCTGTATGGAAATCTTGTCTTAAGGAAGCTGATAGATAGCAAATTTTCACACACCACAGTGACATTGTTGAAATTATTTTTAATTTGTGTACTTATAATCAAGTGCACAACCAACATTGTTGTGTTATAGGATGTTCAGGGTTTTATCCATTGTGTCAGAGTAAATATTCTAAAGCATTAATTTTTTTTTAAGGTGCTGAATAGAAATAAAGTACTTTCCATTGAACTGTGCCTGGTCCAGGAAACCAGCTTATCTGTTTACTAAGTATATTGCGAATGTTACTTTGTATCAACAATCCATAGAGGTGTCTTCTGAGTAGAGGTATAATGCCAAGTTTTGGGGATTATGTGCCTCTGCTGCCTTGTTAAATTCTGTTCCTCTTGAACCAAAGATCTCCCTCCATGTAGTGGTAAGATTTGTCAATGGCAGCTCTACACTTCAGGCAGGAAATTAACTATTTCTTGAAATTGCAGAGTGCTGAGGTTCGCAGATTTGTAACAAAACCTATGTCATGTTATTTGATCATTTTCTTCAATATTCCGAAGTATGTCATTCCAACTTCAGAAATATGGAGTAAATGTTAGTTGTCTACTCTGAGAACTTGGCCTTTCAGACTGACTTGGACACAAAATATTTGACAATTTTGAATAGATGCATTTCACTAACTATTTTTTATGATGGTTGTTAATCATGTTTAGATGCATTTAATTTTTAGCTCTGTTCATGTGTGTTTTCACTTCCTTCTTACTTTAAATCACACATTTGGGTCATTCAAATAGCCTTCGAGTTTGGCTTAAGTTCTTAAACCATATAAGAAGAAAATATTTCAAATCTGGCCATGGTTTCCCCTATGTGAATCGTTGGGTCTTCTTCGACAAATGTTTGTACATTTACATTAGACTGAATCATCCGAGTCTTATAACCAAACTAGAATACTACAGTTAATCATTTGTGACTGCTCCTCACATTTTTTAAATTCATAAGAAATACTTGTGAATGATAGTATTCTGAGAAGTATTTTTCTAATTGCAATCAATCTTTTTATTCATTTGTGTGATTTAGGTCAGTTTTCTACACTAATGTTGTGCTTGAAGTGTTTTTAATTGGTAATGCTATACCTTTTGTGAACTGTATGGTTCAGGACATGTTGCTGCCATACTATGGAGACTGTCATCAAAGTGCCTAAGAGCATGTACCTATCGAGTTTCCACACAACTGATCATTTGATGGCCGATTGCAATCATCTTTGTTTTTGTACGTTGGGTTGACGGCAGCTCTATTCCGGTAGTGAAGATTTCGCTTCCTATGCAGTCGTGTTGAAATACACAACAAGCAATCGGACCAAACTCAGGCTGAGGACCAAATTAAGTGTCTTCTTTTCTTTTGTTTAAAATTACTTGCTTCCAATTTCAGTATTTTGACCAAATATATTTATATGAATCAAATGCTTTTACAGATGTCCTGTTCTGTCTTTCTAACACAGATGGATATTATGTTTCGGTTGTATATGTAGTATTGTAGACTGTGATCTGGCACTTTTCTCTTTTGAAATAATGTGCTGATGCTAGTATAATTTAAGCTCTTAGGGGAAAGAACTTGCTCCACCCACAGTTTAGTTATTCCCATGCATTTTTGTATGCAGCATGTTTGAGATTGTCCGGACTTAAGGTTTGTTACTGTTAAACAACAATCTACTTGTTGGTGGACCAAGTTTTGCCTATTGTGGGTACTAGTTACCATGGGTATTTTTCTTACCTGAAAATAATACATTAAATCTAACAAAATCGTGAACGCTGAATCAACCAATTTTTGAAGTATTATGTGAAGCACTATTTTATTTTGTGAACAAGGGTGTGATAATCAGTCGTGATTAATTTCTACTTAAAAGTGGCTTAATTTTGTATTGTGTCTGTCCCTTGCAGGGCACTTAGTGAATTTTCATGTTCATCGTGCACTATGAGGGCAGAATATACTACCAGGCAGGGTGTACCAAGACCATGGTTTCCTGTCTTGTTCATTGATGCTTAAAATATTCATAGGCTGTCAAAGTGAATTGGTTGTTCGCACGAATAATAAATGCTCTTTTCTTTTGTTCTGAACAAATATTGTTGATATTTTAAATTACTTTAAATTGGTGTTACTAAAAGACATCCAAAGTTAGATAACTGTTTCATGATCTGTTGTGTGTGGTCAATTGTTTTGTTTTTTGTTGTTTTCCTTTTATGGTGTAACATAACAAGACCTGTTATAGTATTTTATGTAAGGGACAAGCAAGTTGCTTGTGAACTTTGTGTACTGGACTGGTAATCGGTTATTTTTGTTTGCTCCCTTCCACAAAACAACATTAACTTCTGCTTTACCTTCTTCCACAGTTTGTTAAACTATTTGTTTTATTTTTTTAACGCTTCCCTTACAGAATGAAACTAAAGACTAAGTGTACTTGTATCTGCTTTCTGGTTGTAACTTCTTTTGAAGAAATGTATATTGCACACTATGCGTATTAATGTATGGCCTAGTCAGTCATTGAGCCTTCAGTCTGTTACTTTACTTTGTGGGCTGTCTTTTTATTAAGACTTGTAAACTATATAAGCCAAAGTCTGCTTTTGAATTTTATTTTTTTGTGATCTAAAATCATGCACTTAAAAGCTGTTGACTTTATGTGAGTCCTCATAATTACTTGAAAGTGAAGTCTTCCTTTTGTGACAGTATTTTGTATTTAATTTTTGATTTCTTATAGGTCTTTATGTCTTTTTGTGATTTATTATTTAAGTTTTGGGCTCAAATTAACTTTTGCCTCATGCAGCTGTTTTACCTGTGGAAAGACTCCAATCTTCCAAAATATGTAGCTCGCTTGAAGACATTTGGAAATTTAAGACTAAATGGCTATGGCACATACTCAACACAAACTTATATTATTACTTAGATGATGCATCTCCTTACATTATTGCGGTGACTACAAGACTACAATTACTTTTTACTAGAGCTGGCCTTAAAGATTTCAATCTAGTCGCTAAAACTGTACCGGTGAATGAGTTAAAACTAGAAAAAAGGAAAATGTTGTGTTATGAGTAAGGTATTGTGGACATGTGTCACTAAAATTGCACTCATGAAATGTTTGAGTTAAATGCAGCAATAACACAGTTTCTAATATAGTCATGTTGTATTCTTGAAATCACAATAATAAAATTACCTAAAACTAACTTTGAATCATCATTATTATCAAATGCGACGATGGTGGTTGGGTGGGTAGCTGATGAAAAAGCAGCCACTGAACCAAAACGAAGATCCTGCCGTGAGTGTGGAAATGTTCCTGTGGCCCGCGAAGCGCCAAGCATTTGTGGGCCACTCTAATGGTAGGTTTTCCATAACGGTTCGAATCCAAGTTCGAATCGATGCGACCCAGGCCGGCTGACCGGCTCGGCTGGAACGGCAAGAGACTCTGGAACGCCGCTAGCCGGTGCTAGCCTGTGCTTGCCGGGGCTCCAGGTCCAATCTTTGGCCCGCAGAGCGATTCGGATCCGAACAGTGTTTCGTCGCTCCGTCTCCCACGCACGCCCACGGGACGCTCCATGGGCCCGAGTGTTTGAGAGAGACAGAACGACGAATCAGCCTGCAGAGAGTAATGACTCTTTGATAATGCGGTGTGGCCGGGCACCAGACACCAGCCCCTCCAGGACCTGGACCGGGGCGTTCCAAAGTCCGCGCGGTCGCCCCATTCCGTTCTGCTCCGTTCCGCGAATCCGAGGCCCCAGAAGCCTAAGCCTAGTCGGGGCGAGGAAACGACTTCCGAATCGCTCGGCTGTGCGTATCTGTCTGACCACGCCCGTGTGGAAGGCTGAGATCACTCGTAGAGTAAGTTATGGTCAGCTCGGGTCCTCTTTCCCTTGGAGCCGTGAGCTGTGAGGAGAAGTAGAGCCCGCGGCGCGGAGGATTGGGGGGGGGGGGGTCGCTTTTCGCTCATTGTCACTGGCGTCAAGCTGACCGACCTCAGGTCATCCGGCAGGGCCTCTCTGCGGTTTCGCGATCCACGCTCCATGGACAGCAATATCGCACCATTACGGCCGGCAGGCCGGCAGCGAGACGTGTTGGATGACTGCGGCCGGGACCAAGCTGAGTCAAGCCGCGTGGCCGTGTTTGTTTTTATATGACACGGCGATTCGCACATCTTCATATGCATGAGTCCGAGGCTCTGGAGCGTTTTATGATAGCGAGTCGTGTGTTGACGAATGGAAGCACGCGTGCGTCTCGACCGGAGCGAGCGGAGCGCGTCTGGCGCGTCCTTGTCTGCAAGAGAGAGACGGGGAGAGCGCGCGAAAAAGCGCGCGAAAAAGCGCCCGCGGAGTCGGGGGTAGGCCGCTCTGCAAGACGCGCCCGGCGAGCGGGCTTGCCTACCCTCGACTTCGCGGGCGCTCTCGCCGACTGAAGATTGACAGTGGTTTTCGATTCGTCGCTCTGTCTCCCTCGCACCTATGTTCAGTCCGCCCTATCAGTGCGATAGAGCGACGAAAAGGACTCTCAGAATCAGTCTGCAGGAGTATACCTTGTGTTTCGACTCTCCTCGTTTCTCGTTCGTCGGGAATCGGGCTCGCCCTCCCGCTTCTTCATCTTCCTCATTCTGGGCACGGTCACCATCGCTGCCGTCTGCATCGGGCTGCGTGCCGCGCCTTTCTGAATCGGCTCGCGGAACAACAACAAAAACAACAAAATTAAGCCGCGGCGGCTCCCTAGGTACTCCCTGCAGACTGATTCCGTGAGTCGTTTCCGTCGCTGTGTCTCTCTCGCGCCTATACGGGAGGCCCCAGGAGTGCGAGAGAGACGGAGCGACAAAAACGACTCTCGGAATCAGTTTGCTGGGATAATTAGCCTCGTCCTGCGAGGCGCGCGCGTTGGGTTACTAGCCGATCCCGACATAGTGCCTCTTCGCCTCTCTCGCAAAGGGACGCTTGACCGGCCAAGGTTTGGCGCGGTGAGCGCTGCTACCGCCATCCGCCACTTAATCGACCCCCCCCCCCCTCTCCACCCTTCCCCGGCCGAAAATGAGCCCAGAGGCGCCGCCGCGGCTCCTGGAAGCGAGGCGCGAGATGCGCGCCGGCCTGCCGCAAGCCCCCGGGCCGGCCCCCGGGACGCCAGGACCCGGAACCTATAAGATGGCAGGACGCGCGCCGCGGCGGCCAGTCTGCGCCGAGAGTCGCTGAAGCCGAGGCTGAAGCGCTAAGCAACGCGTGGCCGACGAACATCCTCACATTGCCGAAACTCAGCGAGAGGCGACATGGCGCGCGCCCTGCTGGTGAGTCCTTCCCTCCCTGCCACGTGGCGGCCCAAAAGGACCTGCCAGTGACCTGAAAGTGAAATCGCTAACGGGGCGTCATCTGTAGTCCTCAGAGGGTCTGACCCGGGCTTGACTTATAAGCGGTCTCAAAGCCTTGCGGCGGTCGGTCGCTTTTCGGCCTCCTACGATGCAACGTGGTTGACTTCTGGCCACGGAAATTTGCCGCTTCGTTCTGGAAGTAATTGTCATCCTGCATGTGTGGCGCGGTGTGGCGGCGCCAAGCCGGGCAGGCGCCATTTAGCTGGGAGGCGTGGCTCGACCTGGCCGGGCCGACGGGCCGCCAGACTGTTCCCTCCCATTGTCACGCTGGCGCCAAGGACGAATCAGGAAGCAGGTCGCTGGTGCGTGGACTTCCCCCAGGCCCCCGGTGAGCGAGAGCGGCTCGCAAGTTTCCAGTGCCCAGGCATCAGGCATTCGGCGCTGTTGACTTCGGAATGAAATGGTAGCCTTCCCGGCGCCTGCAGCGCTTCCGACGTGATTCGACCTGGTGAACAGAGTATTTATTTCTGCGTGTGATGTGGGCTTGGCACCGGCGTGTTGCAGACTTGGATGGTGGTGGCACTGGTGGCGGTGGCAGCGGCCCACCCTCAGGTCAATGTCAACTACCCTGGCGGCTTCGTCAACGTGCCCAACAACGGCCAGGCGGGCCCCATCCAAGTTGCCTATCCCGGAGGCTTCGTCAACGTGCCCAACAGATTGGCGACCCTGCTAAGTGGCGGCAGGCCCTCGGGCGGGCTAGTCACCTTCCCCGGCGGCAGCGTCAATTACGGAAGATGAAGCAGATTCCCTTGGCTCAATAAATATGTCTCTTTTCAGTTTTCCATATTTTTTTAATAACCTTAGCAACGTCAATCAAGATACATAAACAAAGTCAACTTTCAAGTAAAACTCGTACACAAATTCTTCCATTTAAAACAAGGTCCTTTAAATTGAAAATAGGTTGCAGCCTACTTCAGTCATGAAAGGGAACAGCTGAATTGGTTTGAATTCACAAACCTATCAATGAAACTGAATAAAAAGCAGAGTGAATAGAAAGAAGAAAAAAAACACATCAAAGTTACATGAGCAGACCAACAATTTATGCTAAAAGATTAACAGATTCAGAAATATCAGCATGTTATACATAAAGGTATTGAATCTGAGCTCAATCTGACTGAACAAATGTGTTACAAAATAGCAGAAGTCCCACAAAATAGAAAGTAGGATGTTTATTAAGAATTCATTGAAATTATTTATTATAATAAAAACTCTTTTTTATTACTATCTAAAAAAACAAGAGGGGAGGAGAGGGTGAAGTTTGTTAGACTAAAGCACAACAAACAATAGAATCTCAACAGAGCCCCCTCAACACACTAGTGAGTAGAATCAAGACACAAAGAATATGATTAAAAAGTAGTCAGTAAAAGGAACCTACCAAAATACACATTCTCATAATGAAACTACCCAACAGTAGTACATATTTTTTGCTACCATTAAATAATTCAACTATTTAACCACTCACATGAAATCAATAAAATTGATAACAAAGAGGAAAATTTCAGTCTTCCCGAAGCCAGTCAAAAACACCTAGACATTGTACATAATACATTACATCACAAAGGAACACACTTGGTCAAAACAAGTTGTTCAACATCACCTCAAGGATTACCCTGGTGACTAGAGGGCCCAAATATCGAGCAGAATTTTTCGTACATGTTTGTGGAGCACTGAGAGGTGCCATCATACTGTGACTCCTCCCACTGCAGGATAGATTCTTCAGCTGAATGATCAGTAGGCTTCTGCAATGCAGTGAGAGGAACATCCTGTGCCACAGTATCAATCACTTCTTCAACAGGAATGCAACTTTTCTGAGCACTTCGACTAGCTCTTTCTGCCCATTTTTCCAGCACAGGACTTTTTTCATGGTTTTCATCCATGTTCAGGATATTTGCACTTACATTCAAATTCATACCTAAGTCTAAACTAATGGCAGTTTCACTTGCAATTGATGGCTTCAAACTTTCAATGCGACCACGGAAAGATAAATCTACATCTGTACTTGGGGACGAACCACTTCCCACACAAACAGAAGACTCCAAAACTGCTCCCTCTAGCAGTGGTGTTATAACTTTCTCCTCAATATCTATTTTTATAGCTTCTGAGCGAGAAAGATTCCCTTCATCAGATGTACCATCTGCTTTTGTTGTGCTATCAGATCCATCAGCTGCTTCACCAGACGAGTTAAGGTCATCTTTCGATGGGAAACCAAGGAATGGCGAATGTGCAGGAGTCAATGAACTATCAACAATGAAAGGCGGACTTCCAAATGTACTCTTCGAAGTATTGTTGCTTTCACTTGTGTGGTGTTGCTCTAGCTTTAAGGGTGACAACACAACTGTGGGTACCAGATTAGTAGACACACCATGAGCAATATTAATTAAGTTGTTTTCTGCACCTTTCTTCAGTAAGGTGGCTTTCTGATCCAAGTGAGAGCTGGTAGGGGCAGGATCTTGATCAGTAGAATCAGAACTACTAGACCTTAATTCTCTTCTTGACAGAGACAAAGATAATCTGGTGATTCTTCTGGCAGGCACTACAGTATGTCGGGCAACCCTTTCTTTGGTGTCCCTTAGAACTCTGGTTTGGGCATACTCACATGACTCAGAACTTCCAGAATCGACCTTAAGGTTATCAGATATACCGAGAACATTTGACTTTTCCAACAAACCATTTACCCTTCCAACAGTATTTGATTGAAGTAAGGCTAAATTTGTGGAAGCATCAACAGAGTTGGCATGTTCTGATAAGTTTGTTGCTTCACTTGTTCTTGAAGCTTCATTGTCAGCCTCTAAAGTTGAAGATTCAGCACTTACACTTGGAATGGATGAAACCTCACTGCTGGTGTGTGGATGCCGATCGTCAACTTCACTTGTTTCAATTGCACCAGACTTCTTCATCTCCTCACTTTTATGATCTACAATATCCATAGCCTCTTCACAGGTCTGTTTAATTGAGTTAAATTTATTGTCTGAGCCACATGTTTGTTCACATGCGTCTTTCTTTGTAGTTTTAACATCGTCTTTTGGTGACAGGAACAGACTCCGACTAACTCTCTTAGCACTTGCAAGAGGGACATTTTCACCATTGACTTTCCATTTGCTGTCATTTCCTTTTGAATCCAACTGGTACTTACTTTCCCCTTTCTCTGCAGGTTCATCGCTTAATGTTCCAGAGGAAGGCCTAGGGTCTATTGCATCAAAAGACAATGATTTCCTTGCTGAAGGAACTCTCTTTGTCTGCTTGGGCTTATCATCTGATAACTGATGGTTTGAAGTGGACAAAGAAACACAAAGGCTTCTCCTCACATTGAGGGACGCAGTAGCATCACGAAACAATTCTTTGTTGGGCCTCTCTTCTTTCCTTTGGACCTTGTTTCCTCCCAAATTTTCCTCTTGGCCTGTCTTCCCAGCTCGCACTGCCTGGATAACTTCAGCTGCTTTGGCTGTTACAACTTGCAACATATGTTCACTTGTACTTGCAGGTGGAGGACCAGTCATGTTAGCACGAACTTTGATGTAATGATATGCCAGATCTGACGTTATTTGGATAAAATCGGAATGGGTCCTATTGTTTATACCATGAGATCGAAGTGCTGATGTAATTGCCCAATAGAGTTTCTGAAAAAACAAAACAAAACAAGGAGACATAAGTTAAGATAATTCTAAACTAAGAGTTAAAAACTCACCACAGTGTCACTTACTCTCTTGTGTAGTTCACTGAGTTCAGTGTTAAGATTGTACTCTTGGGCAGGGGGTCCCTGGTCACTGGCACGACGAGCACTTTTATTGTTGCTACCAATGCTGTTTGAATTAGAACTGTGGCAGGGATTGCTTACAGAACTGCTATTAGAGTTCTGACCCACAGGAAAAGGGAGACTTCTGAAATTGATGAATTTGAGGATACAAATTAAGATCACAATCCAAATTGAAGCACAAAAAAAAATTTATGAGTATTTGACATAATCTACCTTGTAGTACGGATGTATGGGGCTCGATCATCAGAACAGTGCATTTTAGATCTCTGAGAACTCAAGGAATCACTCTTATCAAGAGTTCTCTTACCATTATCATTAACTGCAGCCTGCATAAAAAGGTGAACAATAATTAAAGGTAACAATTTAGATAGGTTTCAAATACACAAATTTTAGGCTGGACACTTCAGATTACCTCTCTTTCAGAAGGCCACAACGCTCTTTTAGATCTCTGAACATTATTGGATTCAGATGACGAAGGATGATTCGAAGATGAAGCTGCCATGCGTTTATGTTCCTCAGGACTTTGAAACAGAGCTCTTTTGAGGGATTGTACAGGGTCTTGAACTGGAGCTGCAGCCTTAGGAGCATTTCCAGATGAGGATAATTTCTTCATAGCTTCCTTGCTGTTAGTTTTTATGCGTTTGTTCTTGTCAGTTTTCCTACACGCACAACAGAAAACAGAACATTACATCTCACACATCAAAAACAAGATAACGCCAGAAGTTTCTTCCTTAAGACTCACTTTATTTCCACCATAATGCATCGCCTCTCATTTCCGGAGCCCGCTCCATTCATTGAGCGCCGCCGCGTGCCGCCGAGGCTGCTGCCAGCAGCATGAGCACCTCCAGCAGTTCCACTACCAGCTACGCTTGACAGTTGTGCCAAATTAGCAGACGAGAAAGTTTGACGCCTACGAGCCAAGTGGCTTAGCCTACACCCTGGAGACGTCTGTAGAAAAATAATGGGTGACCAATCATGACCTTTGGATTTTAATCGATGAAATCAAGTAAATTAGATAGACCACTTACATTACCCATACTGCGTCTTTGTCTCTGTCTAGTGCTAATTGGAACAGATGATGTCACTGCATTACACCATGTGGATGTTTCGGCACCAATGAGTCGTTCATGAAGTTTTAAGCTGATGTGCTCTACATCTTCTGAAGCAGTACAGGTATTAAAGCTGAAAAATTTGAGACAAACAGCCAATTTAAATCAAATTAAATTAAGAGGAATCCATTTCAAATGAAACACTTAGATCAGACACTAACTGCATGTCATGGTAGACAATTTTTTTGATTTCAGGCCACTCAGCGTTAAGTACTTCCTTCAATGAAGCGTTTGGCTTCCACAGGCTATGAACCGGCCCTAAAACCAGAACATAAAACATATTTAGAAATAGGTAACACAGTAAAGAACAGTTCAACTGTATCTTAGATTTGGCATACCTCCAGTGTCATTGGGTCCAAATAGTTGATCATTATTTTCTCTCAATTTCTTGAGAACTTCATTCAGTGTAATTTGGGGAATAGTTACTGAAGGAGGAGGAGGCACGCCTTGAAGCAGAGCCATCAAACGCTGCAGACGAGCAGACTCAAGTTCTACCACCAAATCCTTCTCTTCCGGAATTGCAGTCTCAGTTGTTGGGCTCACAGGTGCTGACTGACTAAGCTCATCTTCTGCAAAAGGAGATTTCTTTGTTAATCAACGACCTCAAATGATTATCGACACATGAAAGATGTACACTTACCAATTTTGTATGTTTCCTCATCTTCAGACGAAAACATATCAGGGGAAGGAGCATGTTGGCTGGTGGTAGCATGGTAGTTGTCTTCAGTGCTATCAATGTCCATTTTGACGGGATTCACAACAACTTCTTGTGGTTAGTTTCACTTGAAGACATTAACGATATCGGTCAAGCAGCAGAAGCAACAGCCAAAGGGGAGGTCATGATGTTGAAAGCAAGTCGTGTACTCAAATAAACAGTAACTTTGAGAAACGATAGAAAACAAAGAGAAACATGAAGTTATTCGAGAGGAAGGGTTGAACGGATTTGAATTGTCCTTTTAACTGACGTCCACACTACAGCTCTGCGCACTGCTTTAACAATAATTTAACATAAGCAATGTCAGAGACAAAATAAAATAACTCTTTATCGTGTAAATTAAGGTGCATTTCTGTTTTACAAATACAAATTGCTGCTAAAAGTACAATCTAAATAAACACATCGTCGGCTAGCGTTTATCGTATGTCCGCTCTTCGCTTTTGTCAACGTCAACTACATACTCATGCTCAACACTAAATTAAATGGATGGGCTAGGTAATGTCAAGTAATATGAGTGAAACATTACCTTGGGATGTAAAATTAACTATAAAAAGCGAAAATGGTCAAAAACACAAACTGGGAGGCAAATTATCCGGTTTGAAAAAGATTTGGAAAATGATTTGTTGGATCTCTCCTTTGGTTGTTGACTTGACCCTTCAACTGGGGCGTGTTCTTGGTGGTTCTTGGTGCACCTTCCCTCCCCCTCCCCACCTCCCTCCTCCCCTCTGTTACCAATGCGCCTCTCTTTAAGTTTCTAATGTTCGGATCTGTGGAATGAAGCCTAGCAAAATTTATTAAATAATCAAACCGGATGATTTTGAAGGGAACATCCTTAATATTATCTGTTGTTACTCTTCGACGTGAAAGACCCAATATCGACCGCTGGAAGAAGAACAAGAAGAGGAAGAAATAAACACTTTAAGAAGCAATTTGGTTTTGGTTGTGAATTCGTTATTTATAGAGGATTTTAGGCAAGTGCATTTATCCTATTACATCGCGTTAGATTTATGTTCTACGGGGTACATCTGTGCAATTTTGGCGACGGAGATATTTTTGCTTGCTTATATATCGTTAAGGACCGACTAGTTTTTGTGACGCCATCATTACACCCATTTTCACCGGCGATCTCCGGAGCCGGCCTAGATCAGAAGGAACACAGTTTTGTTAAGATTTGTTTACAAACTGTTTTGTTAATTTCAATATCCTACTTTTTACATTAGCGTGTTTGTTTCTCATTAGTAAAGAGCTCAAAGCCCTTGTTCCTTATTCAAGTTGCTGTAACTACTTCTCGTCGTCTGTTTACCAAGAAGGTTATAGTTCTCACCCGAGTGTGTATTTTTCGGACTTAGTTCTGTCACAAAAATTTCATATTTATATGAATTGTTTTCATTTCGGTTCAAAACAACTCATAGTTTTTCAAATGACGAACACTTAAAGTTCGGTTGGTTCATTGGTAGGCAGGGCATAATTTTTTTTTGGGCCCTTGCTCTCCAGATCCAAGCATCATTTGGGTTGTTATTACTTCCTGCTGGATAGTTCAAGGATGATTGCTGTTTTTAATTTTTTTGCAGTTTCTGCTCACAATTGGAAATTTCAGTTTTAAAGTCTAATTTCTGCACCTATCATAATTTTTTTTAAAATTCCATTTTGACAGGTTTAACTATGGCAGACTCTGAAGATATGGGCATGACTGGGGAGGAGCAGTTGGACAGTTTAGATCAGATGGAGGGAGGTGAAGGAGATGTCGGTGACAATGGAGACATTGGAGAGTTGGATGCGAACCATGCTGGAGCTGGCATGGATGACCCTGTAAGCTTTGAATTTCAATTAGTTCTTTATTAAATTATTGCTGTATCGTTGGAAATTCATAGCCTGTGTTTGCCAGGAACTTGAAGCCATCAAAGCTAGGGTACGGGAAATGGAGGAGGAGGCCGAGAAGTTGAAGCAGCTTCAATCAGAAGTTGACAAACAAATGAACATGGGTAGTCCGCCAGGGATTGGTGAGTAGATATCCTTGACAATTGGACTAGAGTCCTCCAACCCACAGCATCATAAAATTTGAAATGATTTGTAGATCTTTATTTACTTGGATTCCTATTTTTGTTTGCAGCCAGCCCCTTGAATATGTCGTTAGAAGACAAAATGGAAGTAGATAATCGTTCAATTTATGTAGGAAATGTAAGTAAATTGTATTATATGCCTGATCACCACTATTTTTCCTATTACTGGTTATTAATCTTATGTGATACTTTAGGTAGATTATGGTGCAACAGCAGAAGAATTAGAGCAGCATTTTCATGGTTGTGGCTCTATAAATAGAGTGACAATCCTCTGCAACAAGTTTGATGGGCATCCCAAAGGCTTTGCATACATTGAATTTGCTGAGAAGGAGTCTGTACAGACAGCTATGGCCATGGATGAATCTCTCTTCCGAGGTCGCCAAATAAAGGTTTGATTTTAACTTTGATGGTTTACATTTATCCATGCAGCCACTTGATGCACAACTGAAACTCACAATTTTCTCGTCCAGGTTAATCCAAAGCGCACGAATAGACCTGGTATGAGTATTACGAACAGGGGACCTAGGGGCAGGGGCTTGGGCCGTGGAGGGAGAGTCAGTAGAGGATCTGCCTATTTTGGGTACAGACCTATGAGAAGACCAAGGTAATTATTGATGTAAATGATTGTTCAATTAATGGCTCATTAAATTTAATTCAGGCTCAACTCAAATTAAATTATTTTTTCTTTTATAGGAGTTACAGAAGGGCTTCATTTTACCCCTACTGATCAACACTGCCTGTGCCGCACTCATCTTTCAGTTCGGTGTGCACAGGCTACCCTTCCCCACAATTGTGGTTAAAAAAGGTTTAAAGAAATTGAAATCCTCTTTGTTACTTTTTTGTTGCTCTTCATTGTAATTTGATGATAGTAAACTTGACTATTGCTGAGAGTGGGGTGACAACACAGATCACAATGATGGGGCTTCCATGCCTGTGAAGTTAAATAGTGATTATGAGTGCTGGATGAGATGTGGATGATGGTGTAGTTGATGAATCGTGTGTACAAATGAAAATTAATCAGTGATTCTTATGATACTTTGTCTCTTAAAATTCATGGGAGCATGTGCTGAATCCCTCTGTTAGATTGTACCTGTGCCTTTTCCTTATAGCATTTCATCCATGTTTTTATTTGCATTTCTAAAACATTGATTTTTTTTTCTTGTGGATGGCTTGTCAGTCAATGGGTAACAGGCAGAAATAATTTATATGCTCCCATGTGTTGCTTAAGTTAGTAATGCACTAGGCACACCATATGTTAGAAGTATTAGTTCATGAAAGTTTCTTATTCAGAATGTCTTTTGAGGGCAAAGCTGCAATCTTCACAAGACATTGGTCTGTTATGAGGATGTTGTAAAGGTCTGATTTTTATTATCTATGTAGTATTAAATTGCATTGAAGTCCGTGAATATGTTTCCAAAGCAGTCAACTAATATTGAAGACCTCTTTGTCTTTGTCTATTATTCTTAGCAAGTTTTGCTATGTGCTGAGACGTTTGAATTTTATAGCATTTTTGCCCCATAATGTTTAACTCTCACATTATCCACCTTAAATGAAATTATATACTTTACTATATATGTAGTACTTTTGAAAGAGGCCAAACTCTTTAAGCTTTGTGGGAAAGAAAAAGAAAAAATGTATGCATTTACATGCTTCTCATGGCAATACACCTACTGTATAATTTTTAATTGTAATGACTTGTTAAATCACACTGTTTGTAATGAACCTAATGAATAGCATGTACAATGGCTCATGGGCTGATAATATTTTCAAATATCTGCTTGTTTGTGGTTAGGTTTTGATTTGTTCAGTCATCATTTAGCACATTCAATCATACTTGTTCTAAATTAATTATGATTTCTTTTATTTATTACAACTGAATTTCATTAAGTCCATAATGAACCAACTTTCCTAGGATTTCCTAATCAACTGTAGCAATGATGTGATTTAATCCAATAGCTACCTTGTAGGAATTTCAATGTGAATTTTTTTTTTATTATTTTGAACTGGAATTTAAAAGGTCCATTAACCAAACTGTATTATTTTGCCCCTCCCAATTTTCTTTGAAAGATAAGATTTCCTCATGACAGAAAAGATAATTTAAACACTAAGAAAAGTGTAGTTATGGAATGAATTGGATAAAAAATATTAATGACCGTACCCTATTTCTTTTCTTTTAACACCAAGTCCATTGCAGGATGATAACATTCACCTCACACACATTGCACTACCTTTCCGATAGACTAGTGTCATTACATGAAATTAAAGTTAATGTATAAGCTCGGTTTAGCGTTGCACGATATAATGGATATAATGTATCCCGCTTATAGCGCGCCAAATGCGTTACCCCAATGCGGAAAACGCCATTAATCAGCCGCCGCATATAACGAACCCCGCACATAGCGTTGGAAATTTTAAGCATCTGTCACAAACGCTAAATCGAGCTTTAGTCAAATCAGATTGATATTTTTTAAATTCTCTGCCCAATGGGAAGTACCCTTCTTGGCTTACCAGTCAAGCGGTGGGGAAGGCCTGGAACTGAGAGGACCGGCCCCCATATTTTTTTATTTCATTCGTACGACCCGCGTTCAAAACACGCCAGCTTCCGGTTTTCTTTCTGTGGATTGTGCCGACTTTATTTAAAGAACGCAACGCGTACAGGTTTCCCCATTCGGGATCTGCCGGTATTCTCCCTGCGCTGAGACGCCCGACTCCACCAATGAATGACTCACGCGGTGCAGTCTAGGACTCTACTGACTGATGAGATTTCTGCTTGATGAAGTTGTCATACTTCGAACCCCACCCCCCACCCCCTACCCCCCCTGTGCTCTCAGCTGTTTGTCGCAGTTGTTTTTTTTTGTAATGACCAGAATGACAGATTGGCAAATGTGCAATAAACAAACAAAATAGTAACTTGTCCGCTTCAAACTCTGTTTCAAAGTAAGATTTAGGGTGCAGCTCTCTTCTGGAGCAATTGATTTTTGCGTGGGCCAAGTTTCTAATGTTGAAAACATTTCATCGCCTCCTTAATAAAAGATGTCCTCAACCTAGAAGCTTTGCAGTGCAGCCTGTGTACATCTTGTCAGGTAAAGGCAGGTTTTGTGCTAGAACCTTGTTGTCATTTTTACCGTTTCTTTTGATGTAATGAAGTCATTATGTGGTCTGTGTTTTGATCTGTTTCTTTGCTTGTTCCTATTCCATCCAGTGCTGATTTACACAATGAGTGACTCCAAAAGTGGACGTTGTCCCTCGAAAGAAGCGCAATGTACACCAAAAAGTCTGAAGAAATCCATGTCTGAGTGGCAGTTTGCTCCTTCATCGGTTTTTGAAAATAATCTACCCATTGATTCTGAAGAGGATTCTTACATTCGCCCTAATGTTAAGGTGCAGTTCTGAGATTCTTTGTTTCAGATCGTGAGTTGTGTTGTTTTAATGTGATATCTGATTTATTAGGGAGCAATATTTTCAAGAGTCCAGCCAACTCCTTTAGAAAAGGATGTGAGACTTGTTGCTTTCTCAAAAGACGTTTTAATAAACATTCTGAACATGGACCCCAGCATCACAGAGACAGATGAATTTGTCAGGTGGGTTGCCGGCAGCAATGTTCTTAGTTCGTCAACACCTTTGGCACATCGTTATGGGGGTCATCAATTTGGAGCCTGGGCTGCTCAATTAGGTGATGGTCGTGCCATGTCTTTAGGTGAATATGTGTCACAGTAAGTCCCATTTTAAGTTTGATTGTTTGCTGATGACTCTGCACCCGTTATTTGTTTTTCAAGAAGTAATTCTCTTTTTAAAGTGATGGAAGACGCTGGGATATTCAGCTAAAAGGAAGTGGTCTTACCCCCTATTCTCGTGGGGGAGATGGTCGTGCTGTGATAAGATCATCAGTGCGAGAATTCTTGTGTTCAGAGGCTATGCATGCTCTAAGTAAGTTGGAATCATTTTGATCTCAACGTTCTGCATTGTCATAATTGATTGTTACTTTATATGATGGATGACTTTAGGTGTACCTACAACAAGAGCAGCTGCCTTGGTTGTAAGCAACGACCCAGTCATACGAGATCAATTCTATGATGGAAGACCAGAAATTGAAAGAGCTGCAGTTGTCATGCGAATCGCCCCATCATTCTTGAGATTTGGTTCTTTAGAAATTCTTACCAGCACTAGTGAACTATCTGAATTGCGTAAACTGCTTAACTATATCCTTGAGGTATTAAATCAACTTTAAGTCTCTTACGAAAACAAAGCATAGTTTTTTTCTTCAATGTATCAATTTTTTTTTCTTTTTGTACATTTAGTTGCGCACGGACATAACTGAGTATGGAGACCAGAAATATCTTGCTTTATTGGAAAAGGTAATAGATGAAAGCATCAAACTGGTAATTGCTTGGTCCATGGTTGGGTAAGTAAAGGTGGATGCAAGATAGTGTACTGTGCCACAATACTAATAATAAATAAATTGTTATTATAATTTTTTTATTTTTTGTAGCTTTACCCATGGTGTCCTGAACACTGACAACATGAGTATGTTTGGTGTCACGATTGACTATGGCCCATTTGGCTTCATGGAAAAATTTGATCGGAACTTTGTTCCAAATTCCTCTGATAGTGGAGGGCGGTATTCATTTGTTGAGCAGCTGGGAGTAGGTTTAAGTTTTGTTCTTTTATTCTTGAAATCTATCATGATGGTATGATTGTAAACTGTTTATTTACCAACTGTTTTGCTTTTTTTTTTAGATAGTTCACTGGAATCTGGCAAAGCTTGTCATGGCAGTCAGGCCTCTTCTTTCTGAACCAGAGCAAAAGCAAGCAGAGCAAATGCTCCGAAATGCTGTGGCTACTGGAGAAGCTCAGTTTATTGCAGGATTTCATGAAAAGTTGGGCTTCAAGCCAAATTCAACAGCAAACACTCAGCTAGTGCATCTACTAGTAGAGATGATGCAAGATACATCCAGTGATTTCACAATGACTTTCAGGCAGCTAGCTTTTGTAAAATTGGATGAAATGTTGGATCCAAAAGTTCTTGATAAATATTGGGCTCTGAAAGTTTTCAGTCGCCACCCAAGATTTAAAGAGTTTGTACATACTTATAAACAGACTATGATCATAGAAGGTTTGTGGTTTTTTTAGATTTAAATTTGTCCTCAATGCATAAAATGCTTTTTAAAAAGTAACTTTTTTTTCTGCTTAGGTTTGTCTGATGAGAAGCGTCGAAGCAACATGTTAGCAAAAAACCCTCAGTATGTCCTACGCAACTGGATGGCCCAGGATGCAATTAAGCTGGCAGAACAAGATGACTTCAGCGGAGTTCAGTTTTTACTAGAGATATTGAACAATCCATTCACTATCAACGAAACGGCAGAAAAGAAAGGGTATTCTGGTCCAACTCCACCCTGGGCAAATTGTATCCGTGTAAGCTGCTCAAGCTAAATGATCAGCTTTCATCTCCTTCAATCAAATGTGCACAAAAAAAAAAAAAAAATTGTTTAAAAAGTTATTTGTGAATTATCTGCCAACTGAAATGGTGTTGTGTGAAGACTACAGAGCTTGACTGTGATTTTCTCCTTTAGAATCAAAATAATTCCAATTTTAATTTACAACTCTTTTACAACTGATGAATGTAAAAACAAATGAGCTGTAGCTGTGGTAGCTGAATTAGTCATGGTTAAATTTAGCAATTAGTGTATAACAGAAACATGATGTACCTGTTACTTTAAAATGCCAATTAAACACAATCTTCTGTGACATTAAAGAAAATTACTTTCAGATGTAGGCATATCTAACCAACCACGAAGTGGTTGTACTGGCTCTGTGGTAAGGACATATGCACCCTTCGCCTTGCACCAAAAGCAATAACAAGTTGACACATTTTATTAAATATTCGATTTAGGCTTTAATATTCAATTGAAAAAGTACTATTATTCTTGAGCGATTTAATGACGCATGTAATAATCTATGATGGTTGAAAATGCTGCAAATCCAGCAGCTCCTAAAAGACCAGCTTTCAAACCAGCTGCAAATGAATGAAATACAAGTCAGAGCAATGCCTTAAATAGCCAGAATTTGAAATACTGAGTCAGCTGAGACAAAATTTTAGATGTATGATCTTACCTCTAACTCCTATCAATCCACCTGTAATTCCACCAGCATATGTACCATTTTTCCAGTCTGTTGTGCCTCGATACTGAAATTTCATAAAACAATCAGAGCCAAAGTGGATTGAAAGGCAAATATTACAATCTTAAAAACAATTTTTGCTTACCGATTCAACAGTGCATTCCACAGCAGCAAATACACCTCCAACCATTGCGAAATTTTTGGCATAACTTAGAGTGGTAGTTTTCATGTCTCTGAAAACTTCTCTAGCAGTTTGCGGTGGAGCATCGGGAAGTGTCACAGGAGGGTTGACTCCTGAAGTAAAAAGCCCAAACGCAGCTCCAACTCCATAACCTAGTAAGCACAAGAAACACTTTTCTAACATCTGACTGACATAGTGAAAAGTGTGCAGCAATAAATGAGACTGCAGACAATTGAAACAGGGATACTCTAGCACATAATATCTTTCTAAGTTTAAGTGCATTTAAAAGCCGAATTTCTCACTAACCTAAGACACAGCTGAGAGTTGACTTGAAAGCGCAACTTTCGAAAAAGGCTTCAACCATTTTCTCCTCGTCTCCCTTTATTTTGACAGGCCCAGCTATTCTTGGAATGATTATGTTGTCTCTTTGTCGTGTGTTGTTTCCAACTAAATATCGGGCGATTGAGTCCCATTCCTCTGCAGTAAATGTAACACGCTTTCTGCTACTGTCTTCCGACATCTTTGATGTTATGGTCGTTCGTTCCCCCCCCCCCCTCCGGCGACGTTGCCGCGCGGCGCGTCGTCTGCTGGGTCGTAGGCTGCTTGTCTTCACCCAAGTTTTCCATTCGTCCAATAAATTCTCCCATTTGGTCTTATTCTATGATAAAATTACTTAAATAGATGTGAGACGGTCGCTGTGGCTCTAGTGTCCACCAGGAGAACTAGAAATGCCTTCGGCTCGGGACAGCCAGCACTTGGCGGAGGCAGAGTGACACCTCTTCAATAAGTAAATCGTACTCGGAACTGTCATATCATGGTACGCTTTGAGTGGACGCGCACTGCATAAAATAATTCTACTGTTAATACTGGTGTGGATGGGAGGGTCTCTAGGGACTCTCCCTAGCCAGCACCAGCTTCAAGCCAATTTCTTGATATTTGTTCAATTAACGGTTGAATCAGAGGTGACTTCATGAACGTATGAACAAAAATGATGAGTGAGCGGGGCAAATAAACATAAACAAACGTTAAAACTCCAAATTATTTCATTTAAGATATATATGTCAGTGCATATACACAGAGTTGTCCACACAAATGCTCAGTGCATTTACATAAACATTTAAATATGCGCCTTTAAAACAAACTATAACAATCAAGAGAAATTATTTGACGGCACTTTTTGTGAGTTCAAAACCAAGAAAATAAAAACTGCAAACACATTTCATGCTATGTATGATACAACTCTTAAACACCACTAAAACCTATGTTAAACTAGAAAATATTTCCAATAAAAAAAATTTACAAAATATTCAGTTTAATCTAATCTGAAATTAATGTTCCTGCTCATACAGAACAACTTGTGACAAACAGCTTTGCAGTTGAATCACCCAAGTTTCTAATGTTGTAAGTTTCACCTGGTGGAAGACAAATATTTAAATGAAAACAAATTTTCTTTCTTAGAAGCAAAACAACCAAGTTACCGTACAAGAAGAAGATATTACCTCTGGGAACAATGAAAACTGAGCCAGTTGTAAGTATTTTCTCATCTTTAGAACATTCATAATTCATTTTACCCTCCAATACATAAAATACCTAAAAAATAAAATTTGAATTATGTTACACGGCAGCACACAAATTACACCACTATGCAATGAATTTAACTGATATTCTGGTGTACTAACTTGATTATATGTACTTGATCTCTGGTCTTCACACGCAGCTTCAGGTCCAAGAGTAATCAAATCTCCTTTAACACCACATCCCCAGACAAATTCAGTTGTCTTGACCTCCATTGGCAAGCAAGTGATTTTTTTGACTCCGTTTTCATTCAAATTGTAGGTGTCATAAATCAGAACTGAAAAGTGAAACAATGGAGTTATTAAAGCATACTTTGTGTACCAAATGATGTATGTACGACTGTATACTTTTCATACCTCTATCTACATCAGGATGTGATGGTGAAGTGTCAACCTGTGAGGAAGCTGGATCCTCTTCGATCTGCTTGACTCTTTTACTAGTTTTGGCAACATCCAATTTACTCGTCTTATCAATCTTTCGTTTCTGACCTTTAGGATTGCTGGTCTTCCTTTCCTTATCTACGCAAAAGCATTGAAGTTAAAAGCAGGAAATAAAAGTGAAATGAAAGAGAGAACAAATTTTAAGAATGAGTTGAAGATGACTCACATGATGTTTTTTTACGTGACTGACTCGTGCCTTCATTTTCCGTTACATAGTCAATTATCAGATTGTTATGTGCTCTATTACCAAGCCAATACATTGAAGGGGGTTTGCGGCTTCTTTGAGAACAGCGAATTCCTGGAAAGGAAACATCATGGGTCCATTAAGCAACAGTAATGCAATATTTTGTAAGAGTCAGAACTTTTAATGTAGTTTTTCAAGTTATTAGAACTGTTGGTGAGACAAACCTGATGCCAGTTCGTCATGGTTTGGAAGTTCAATCAAAATATTTTGATTTTTGATGGGATTGCCCTTTTCTTCCTCTTGAATTAGATCATCATCCATTTGAACTTCAGTCATCATTCTCTGCTTTCCTTGCAAGGCATCTCGTGATGAAACTGGCCCATTTGTTACAAGTTTTCCTGTAAAAAAATACAGATGGGGTGAGCTATGCAGTAATTTTAACAATATTATCAACAAATTCTAAATTACTATCTCTGATAAAGAATAATTTCATCTTCCTTGGCAAAAAGAATACCTTTAGGACTCTTGGTTTTCTTCAAATTGAAATTTTCCTGTGTTCTCTTTTTTGTGCTTTTCTTTTGTTTCTCCTTGCTTTTATGATTTTGGGAATTCTGGTTTGATGAAGCCTCAATTGAAGGCATGGCAGTGGAAATTTCCCTAGCTTGTTGTGCATTAAGTATCTCCATATCGGCAGATGATGAAGCCTGAGTTGAAGGCATTGCAGTAAAATTTTTCTCTGTTTGTTGTGCATCAAGTATCTCCATGGCGGCAGATTTTTCATCAACATTATCCTGTAAGAGTTTCTTTTTACATTTTTCTATTTCTGTAACTTCCCTAGCACTAGAGAATGGAGTTTTTGTGCCTGCAAGGATAATTAAGGGAGAGTTAGTCTGTTGAAAAAAGGACACCACACAAAGGGGATAAGTTAAGCATAAACAAACCTCTCCTGCTTATTCTTTTCTGAAGGGGACGAGGAGATGGGGAATCACTATCAGAGCTGTTCCCCTGAGATCTTCGTTTCTCTTCTATCTTTTCTTTCCTACGACGACGAATTTCTTTGGCCTTTGAACTCAATCGAGAAACTACCCAAAAAGAAAAAAAGAGTTTTATATGCATGGTCTGACAGGTAAACTCACTTTGTGAGCTAAATATTACAGTACGTAATAGTAATAAAATATGGTCACCTTTTTTTAAATGCTTTGGATTTGGCACTTCATCTTCCTCTGTAAAATATACACAGGTATTAGGAGGAAATAATATCAGATGTCCTTTAAATATACAGTCGGCAATCATACTCACTTAGAGGTTTGTGACTTTGTGTCGCATTACTCTCCAACTTTCCAGTGGGACTTTGTTTCTTTAGAAGTTTCTGAGACGCAACTTTCTCTTCTTCAGAGGAGGACATAATTTCTAAAATGGAAGGAGAGTTATGTTAGACACATAATAAACGTCATCAGAGTAAAATTTCTTTTAGTGTGAGATATATTTATTATTAACAAAATGCATGACACACCTAACTCGAAATGGTCCTCTGCAAAATTACTTTGACAATCACTTGGCTGTCTTGATATGAAGATGTCACAGCTTGATGCACTTTCATTGTGAAAATCTGTTAAAAGAAATTAACAAAAAAGTGTAAAAATGGTGGTATAACTGCAACATTTCCCCAGAGCAAGGTGTGGGACACAAATCTTGCAAGTTAGAACACTGTACTTGACTTACTCAATGCATCAGGGGTTAACGGTTGAGGCTGTTCAGTACCTTGAGGGACTGAAAATAATGACTCTCTTACTCCAGTGGGAGAGGCATATTGTGCTGGTCGTATGTCACAGGAAAGAGCTGCAATGAATTTCAGACACAATAAAGATACAGAGGCAAAATAATCATAACATATTATGTAATTCATAATCAAGGGAAAGAAATGTCTTGTCACAAAATCAACACCTACATTTGACAGGGCTTTTGAATGGAGATATGTTGTGCCTAGAATTGAGTCCTGAAAATAAAGAGACAAAATATTGTGTAATGTAAAAACTACAATTATATAAAATTTAAACAAATTAATTTTTCAACAAGTCAGATACCCACTGACTACTTTTACTTACCCAACTGATTGCTCTTCTCAAGGCTCTTTGAGTTCCTTGCGTTGTTCTGATTTTCCCTCAATTTCAAACTTTGAGCTCGTAGCAATATCCTCTCTTCTTCAGATGAAGACTCGATCTCTGAAATTAGAAGGGATATGTGCTGATTGGAAGAGGGAAGGGAAATGGAGACTAGGGATGGAGAGGTAGAAGACATGCAAGTGTGACCATAACGTAGCTACCCAACCCACTGGTCGCATTATGCAGAATACAACAAAATATTTACCTTTTGGTTTGTTCTGCTGAATGGATGATGTCTTGTGTGCACTAGAAAGCAGTTCCCTGGCATTTGACTGCTTTACTGCATGAGCTATAATAAATAAAAGATACATTCAAATTCTTCCTCCCAGAAATAGTGAAACCTGCTTACAGTGTTGGTCTCTGGTGTGAGTCCAGGCAAAATTAAAAGCAAGTTTCCTTGTACACACTAAGTTGTTTATTTTTTGTATATATTTCCAAATTTTACTTACCTTTACCTTAACTCACCTTTGGTATTGTTTGAGCTTTTATGCCTGTCCTCAGGTTCTGTGATGTTTGGGTTTGACTTTTCTTTGTTCGTATCTCCACCAACAATACATGCAGGAGCTACAAGTGTATGTTCCACCTTATCATTTTTACTTGACTTGTTTTTATCAAGATCAACAGCAACACCGAAGCAGCTGGACTGTTTGATAACGGTGTTTCCAATCTTCACAGCAAAGTTAGATTGACAGATCATATTTACTTCTTTACAAGGAACATCAGAACTCTTTTGGAGATTCTGAGTTAGCTGGTTATTTTTGTTGGCATGGTCAGAAGAGTGAACCAATGCATGTTCTTTAGAAACCTGAGGATCAGTAGAAATACTTTCATCTCTGGGGGTATTCTTATCCCCTTTCTTTGATTCATTTTTCCCCTTATTATTATTATAACTTTCAGTTTCAGGTTCCAGTTCTTTGCTGTAGTTAGTTTTTGATTTTATTTTCATTGCTGAGTCCTCTTGAGCATTGGTTGTCTGTTCTGGTACCTCAGCAAAGCTCACACGCTTTTTCAATCCCTGACCTTTTTCTTTTGTATGATCAATAATTATAGACTTCCTTTGAGTTTTATGGGATGAAGCCTTATTTAGCTGAACTAGTGTTTGGTCTGAACTTTGGGTGTTAATGTGGTTTGGAAGCTCTTCAACTGTACCTCGTACCTCATTTCTTTCGGTTGTGCGCTGCTGGTGATTTTCTTCAAGCTCCAAAGTTACTTTATCATGGTTTAGTATTGTAAGAGGAAGGTCCCCGCCGACATCATGTGACTCACACTTCTTGCTCACTATTAGATCTCGGTCTCTTCCTTTATCCGTGGTTTGAGCATCAGATATTTCAGTAAACCCGCTTTGTTTTTTTCTTGAGTATTTTCTAGGGCTGTAGGTACGAAGACTGCCAGCAGAGCTTTGCACTTTGTTCTCATCTTGTAAATTCATTATTTCATTTGGATGGTTAATTTTGGCCATTGTTTTCTCCTTGCTGCTTGAATGAGAGGAAGCAATAGGCAATCGATTTCGTATTGGTATCTTATCGGGACTAATGGAAGTCTTTTTCAAATCAGCAGTGCAGGTTGTTGATGCTTCAGTGGTTTCCCAGCTTCCCTCTGTGCTGTTGATAGGTGGATTCACAGAGCTCATTGTTCTCCCTTTCAAAGCACCACCTGCATACTGCCTAGTTGTGTCACCTTGGTTGATAAGGGACTTCAAGGGTCGAACTCCTTGAAAAGGATTTCAGATAAATAGGATGAGGTAAGTTTCTTTGAAACATTCTTAGCACATGGTTAACTGGTAAAGAAAAGTAACTTACCAAGTTCTCTAGAGGATCTTTTCTTGACACTTTTCCTAAAAAAAAATAAAAAAATAAAATAAAAACATTTTTTAAAATTTTTCTTTTAATTTTAAGGTTACAGGAAATATGAAACAAACCCTGGCTCAAGAAGTTGGTTAAATGTATCATCAGCTGGGTCAGCTGAATTTTTTCTGTTCAGAACTAGGCTTCCAGAATAATTTTGAACCTCTTGTTCTGGAATTCTGAAATTTAAAAAAATCATGGTCCTTAACAATAGGACAAGAAAACAAGCATAAGAACATCTTTTTAGTAATATACCTTTCATTGGTGGGCCCATCTACAGGAGAAATAATTGAAGAAACCTCAAACACAGGTACTTGTTTATGCCTTACAAAGGGTGTACTAGTGAAGGGGAGAAGTTTCTTTGAGTTGACATTTGTTTGGGATTCCTGCAACCAAACAACAAATGACAGATATTTGTAAATGATAGGTATACTAGAATACTACCAAGCAAGAAAACTATAAAAATTAACAAAATCAAACAATATCAAAACTTCACAAAGAAAAAATCAAAACAAAATTTCAGTTTATACAAGGAATACCATACCACACTGATATTTGCAGTTTTGGTGTGCGTTGGAGATGAATCGGCAATGACTTCAGTAATTTGAGATGTACCCTTAACGATAGGTGCAGTTGAAGAGGTGGACGCAGTGGCAACTGTATGGAGAGCCTTGATAGGTTCTGTTCCAGTTGGAACATTATTATCCTGGTTGTCAGTCTGAACAAAAAGAAAGATTTATGTCACGATGTAATCACAAATCAAAAGGATTATTTGAAACTGAGCACAGTGGCAAAATACCTTGCACAGTACATCCCAACTGTCATCGGATCCTGGATCGGAAATAGTAAGTTCGTTGCTTTTTCTTTTAATGTTTCTGAAAACCAAAAGACAGGGTGGATGAATAAAACAAGCTATTCTAAAATTGATAAAGGTGTAATAACCAATAGTTCCAGCTATTCTCTGAATAACAGTTCTTTTTTTTTTTTGTGCTATATGCAAATAAATAAAGGTTAAGATTGAGGAGCCAATTTACCCTTTCTTTAGAAATCCACGAAACTTCATTTTTACTATCGTTTAGACAGTGAACACAGGGGGTTATCTTAAGGCACTATTTCTCATCATCAATCTTCAAAACAAATTGGTTAAACTAAAACTTGAACACAAAATGCCACTACACGAAGACAAACAAACAACAAACACAAACATACGACGGAAAAACCGAAAAGTGGCGGGGCGGCCGGCGTTTGAACGGCGCGATCCCGCGCCCTGTGGTCACTTTGCGGTCGATTCGATCATAGCTTCTTGAAGAAATTGACTATCTAGATTCAATTTTCATGGAGTTGGCTTTCAAATGCTGTAAACGTGAAGGTGTGAACGTGAAATAAACAATATTTATTGGCCCCTTTTTAATGTTTCCAAAAAATACGTTACTCGACTGTCTTTTGTTGTTTGTCCTGTCTTCTGCTAGCATGGGGGAAAGGGAGGAATTTGAAGGTTTTGTTTGGAAGGAGATCCTTGTTTGGAATTATTGGAATTATTATGAAGGCCAGTTGCGAAGAACGTGGGTTACGTTATAGGATTTTAAATTTTGTTGCATATTGTTAGCATAGTGACTTAAATCCAGGTTTGTTAAGTTCCGACGTACCTCAAATGCAACTGCTTTGTTTCTTAATGTTTTATATTTGTCTCTCTTCCTGGTAGAATGCCTTGGTGCAACATGAATGTCGGATTGCGAGATGTGCACTTTAAAAATCAAGATATTCCTCAACTTCGATCTGAGCTGCTGCTCAGCGGAGAACTTTTTGAAGATCCTTGTTTTCCTGCTGACCAGTTGTCTCTAGGTGATGTTGTGGTTGAAAATGTTGTGTGGAAACGACCTAAGGTACTGTTTGTGATTTCCTGTAACAAATTTCTCGTTCAAAAACTACATTGACACCCTCCTTCTCTTGCTCAGGATTTGTGTCCTAATCCCCAACTGTTTTCATCTGCTCCGACACAGTCGGAAGTTAAACCGGGTAAGATGAGCAGTCCGTGGGTTGTATCAGCAATATCTGTGTTGGGAGGCATGAGAGAATTATTCTACATGGTAAGATTTTCGATACAAACATATACGTAAAATGTTGTACATCAATGATTTTGGTTTATTGTAATTTTTGCCTTAGGTCATGCCGGATTCACACATGCAGGAATGGAGGGATGATCCGTCCTATGAGTACATAGGACTGTTTTACTTCTGTTTCTGGCATTATGGGACTTGGACTTTTGTGACCATTGATGACAGGCTTCCAACTGTTGAAGGTGAACTCCTTTTCACTCAATCTACTGATAATGGAGAGTTTTGGATTCCTCTGCTGGAGAAGGCATATGCTAAGTATGTTTAATTACTTTCTTATTAAATGAATGCATGTTCTCATCAATATTTATTCGTCATAATTTCTTAATCTCAGATTACATGGATCGTATCAAAATCTGGATTATGGGCATGTGACTAATGCTCTTGTAGACTTCACTGGTGGAGTTGCAGAGACATATGACTTAAATATTGACGAAAATGATTCTAATGGCCAATTAAATCACTTAATGGAAAGTATCAATCATGAGCTAAGTAATCACTCCATCGTCTGCCTAAAAATAAATGTAAGTATTAATGCCTGAAGTCCACATTACCTTGATGTTCTTCTGTGTTTGAAGACTTTTACTCTGAACTAAACTTAGGTGCTAAAAGTAATGAGATATAGATCTATCTTATGGCACTGTGGTAGCTGCCAAAGTTTTTCTAGAAAGAAAAAGTTGGTTCTACATATTTGGCATTTGGTTTGAACATGAACAAGTAGAGAGCAGCATTTAAAAGGGCCATTCCATGACAACCTATGATAAAAACAAAGGCGAAATCATACCACCAGCTTTCCCATTCAGCCCCGCAATACCACAAAATTACTGTTGCCAAATCTTCCAATAAAACAAGTGCAAAGAATATAATGAGAAATACTCTTGGGTATTTATACCGCACTTTTACTTCTATTGGACATAAAATAAAAATGAGTGCAATCAGCGGTGCCCAGAAACTTGGACAAGGGTTGCAAAACCATAGGTAAGCTACCATGATACAATAGTGGCTGAATATCATACCAAGGGATGGCCAGAGGTAAAAGTGAGCGAAGGCTGCAATAACAAGAACCCGAGCAAGGAGATACATTAACCATGCATTAAAAGCTGCAAAAATTCCGAGTGGTTCATCCTCATGAAGTCCTTTTATCCGTGGTTTTCGGACGGGTAGGGCGACGTTTGAGGTATATGCTGGCCGGTTTTGGCTTCTAATAGTGTTTATTGATAACCTTGGTCTCATGTGAGGGTCAGCTGTAGGTGATGATGGTGGTGTTTGTATTCGTGGCCAGAAACAGCGATCGTCTAAGGGAGCACCTTCTACTGTTATTGGCGTGAGATAAGCAGAATCGTTAGCTCCACTAACAGATTGATTAGCTTCAGTACTAAGGAGTGTGTCATGTTCTTCAGGCTCTTCCTCTTTCACTGTTTGATCATCAACCTGTGTTTGAGGATTGTCTTTTGCACCGTTGTCTGGGGACGCTGCAGTTTCTTTATCTGTTTCACCGTGGAAACTTGTTTCAAATGGTTCTGGTGCTGATGTGGTGCTTTTTGCTTCATTAATTTCTTCTTGCTCCTCTTCTGTGGCTGGTTGGTCATGGCTGAGCTGAGATATTTGACCTGTTGTTCTCTCTGGCTCGTCTGTATCATTACATTGGCTTCCTTCATGAGCAGGGGAGATTACCACAGCTACAGTCTTCTTGTTAGGTGGAGGATCTTGTAGAACCATTAGCAACTTTGGGTCAAATTGTTTAATGTTTATCAGTGCTCGAGTGTGAGCTTCATTTTCTTGTTGGGCCCATTGGGGAAGGCGCCCAACAGCCCTCTGACTTTCAAATCTCTGATACAATGCAGCTGTTTTAGATAAAGTAATGACAGAGGTGATTATACTTACTGCCAGAGTCCAGCCTGTTGAACAGAACATGTTTATGATTTGTTGCTATTATAACTGGATTTAATGTGGTGATTTTGATTGATTTTTTTTTTTACCTGTTTCATCTGTTGTGACAATTTGTGGAGAAAGTAAAATATAAGCTTGAAGGATAGCTTGTGGTGCTGCATTCAGAAATGAATCAAGGAAGAAAAACAGTTCAGTTTGATGACAAGCAGCTACAATGCATAGTGCTTTTTCTCTTGCTGGGTCTTCTTCAGTTAAAGCAACAACAGACCAAAACAACTGTGTTGCAAATCTACAAAAAAATAAACTTATGAAGATTGGAGATGCTCAAGTAATTAGTTAAAACTTTATTCATACCTGTATATGATGCCCAAAGGAAAAAGTAAACTTTGAAGGCATTGAATTGTGACCCAAGTCAACAAGTCCCCAATTTTTTCCAACTTAGGAAGTCGAGTGAAAGTTAAAATCAAGCATGTTAAAGAAGGGGCATACATGAGAGCCAATGTTGCCCCTCCAAGCAATGGGTGGTCTTCTCTGTTTTGTTTTTGAAAAAAGAAACATAATGATTATGAGAGGACATTCTTTAAAATTATCAGCAGGAGCAAATGGTACATCTTGCTTCGAAAGAATGTTTGTTAACCAACCTGAAAAGTTGACAGGCTACAGTAATGTCCAGTGCAATGTTGGCTATAAAGATAACTGTTGAAAGAATAGATGGTACAAAAAACCCAATCCACATTTGTTGCGCGGTGGTAAGAGGATGACCAAATATTCTCAGTTGCTTTTTATCTAAAATAGAATTTTCACCGCCTGTAGGTCCATTACAGTCTTCTTCTTCTTCTGCTCCCATTGCCCCTAGAATTCTATGATTAGTTCTGTTATCTTAAATAAGAGCAAGAGTTGTGATTACCACGATTTTAGGCACTGATTTTTATATGGTAAAAATTAACACATATTTTCTTTTTTGTATGGAAGCAGCTCGGGTCATACTACATACCTCTCAGCTGAATTTAAGTCAAACTAACTCAGTTGTGTTCTGTGTTTATAAGGAGTAAACTGTTACAAATGATACATTGGCATTATATCCCTCAAAAGCAGAAACTGCTATGGGTGTGGTGGAGAGGTGGAGTCACAACAGTGATGGGTTACTCTTATCATATCTCTTCCCACCATTTTCCCCCTTATCTAAGGAATAGGAAGGGATAGTTATGAGATAAAGGTGGACAGGAAGACTTATGCTTGTTGTGATATAGGTGAAAAATTATTTCCTATTTCTGGACTTTTGTACTTTTTAACATTGAAAACTTGATCATTCTTCTTGACAGCACCCTCATGTTGAAGAAGAGAGTGATAGGAATGATCTTGGATTAACCCGAGGAGCTGTTTATCAGATAAATGGAGCCAAGTATGTTTCCCTTGGAGAATCAAGATTACAAAGTATTTTCAGGTAATTTTAGTTGATCCCATTAAATTTTAAGTGATTTACAGTGCTTTGTAGAAGTTTTCAACCATTGTTTATATTTTAGCAATAGGAATCGGATAGGCATGGTACGACTTCGTGGTACTCCTCCAGAACAACAGTTAGTATCCTAAGTTTGAAAAAAAATCTTGCCAATTATACAAATTTGCAATTTTAAAAAAATCAATAGAATTCGTCATAACTTTTTTTTTTTTTTCACAGAATGGGAAGCCCAGTTAGTCAGAAAAGCTCAGGATCTCTTGCATATTCTGCTACCATGCTGTCTCGTCTATTATCTCGCAATCCTAAGTGGACGCAGGTTAAGGAGACTGAGCAGCAGCGCATGGGCCTTGGTCTGGACCATGTTGGAGAATTTTGGTACAGAAATATGGCTGATATGCTGCCTCTGGTCTGTAAATCTTACATGCTATCTAATTTGTCTGTATTGTCAACTTTCTCCCCCTTCAAAACGTAAATAAATGCAGGATGCCCTTGGATGATCTAATTGTGTTTAATGAAGTCATTATTGTGCACTTCTATACGAAGAATGTTTATGCACTCAGATTAAGGTGGAAGGAAGCTTCAATATTGGGGCATTGGAGTGAAGGAGTTAAGGGAACATCATCTGACCGTTGTGGTGGATGTCTTGAATTTCATGAAACTTACTTAAGGAATCCTCAGGTGAGAAATGATAAAATTGTGTTATTGTGTTGTATTATTGTATCTTTAAAGTTATCTAATGAAAAGAAAAAAATGTTTGCTTGTGGTTTTAACTTGTTATTTTGTTTTAGTACATATTTGATGTATCAAAGCAGGAAGAAAACCTTGTTGTACAGCTCCTTCAATGGCAAGGGAAGGATAATGAAAAATTGATTACACATGAACGGTTGCCTTTCCTTATTGGGTTTTTCATTATAAAGGTAATGTCTTGTTAGAATTAACTTGTCATTAGAACTTAATCACATTTTCAGTTATCTAAATGCAAAGTGTTAGCTCTGTCTGTCATTGTGATGACTTTCTTATCTTAATGCTCTTTGACAGGTAGAGGAGAACCGCAGTTATCGTTTGTCCAAACAATGGGACTTCAACCCTACTGTAGTCACTGTACACCCTTTAAGAAAGCGACAGCTTTATTATTGTGGTACGCTGGGGAGAGGTCGCTATATCATAGTTCCACATACTTACAAACCTGGGGAGTTGGCCGGTTTCATGCTGAGAACCTTTGCAAAAGCTAACATCAATTTAAGGTTTGTTCATTAGAATCTAACTTCCCAACTTCTTTTTTAATGCATTGTTGTTTTCATTTTTAAAAAAAATGATTATTAATTTTATTTTTAGGGAATTGAAAAAGAATGGTCCAACTCAGCATTGGCCTAAATTCCTATTTAGGTACCCTTCTTTGACGACTGTTATTGTCATAGAATCCTTGAACAATGTGTCGAGCATGAAAGGTACAAAGAAAAAGGGAAACCCTTCACCTCTTTTTTCCATGTTGCTCAGGCAGTTTTTCAGCATAAGAATGTTTCTGCTCTTTGGCTTTTGTAGGCACCAACATGTGGATTAAGCTTAAATGTGAGGGAAAGAAGGCTAAAACCTTAAAATCTCAAGATTCCAATCAACCATCATGGAATACTGCATTCGTATTTTATAGAGCACATCCCGATAAACCAATCAGTGTTCAGGTAAGTTAACTAAACAAATGTTTTATTTTCTCTTTGAATGTCTTCAGAATTTCTGTTACTCATTGGATGCAGGAATCAAGAGCTTTTAACTTATGCTCCTTCTGATGTTTATGTTTCCCTCTCATTTTCAGCTGTTTTCCCAGAAATGGCAATGCTTCCACACACTTCTTGGTCAAGCAGAACTACCTGCTGTCACTAACCGCTCTCTCTGCCCCTTAGAAGTAGCCTTGAGAGACAAAGGGGGTGAGCCTACTGCGACAGTATTGTCTCTTAAAATCTTGACCATTGACAGTATTTTGCAGTGTTGACAGCTAAAAGTTGGTAGCTTAAAAATATCAATTTTTAAGAATCGCACTGTACAGTATTACCAAAGTTATGCGCATTCACTGATAAATTATTATATTAATTTTGTGGTTTATTACTAGTCCAAAGCAGGTCACCTTTTCGCCTGTACATTAAGACGTTTTACACATTGATTTTTGTTCTGTATTTTATTTTATATTTTGATACTAACATTTGTTTTTTTATGAAGATGACTATGTCAGTAACATACTGATCTGATTAGAATATTGAGCATTATTCTGTGTATTTGATTCAAAAGTATATATTTGTATTGTATCCGAAGGAGCCCTGGAAGCCTATTTGGTGCCTTACTTTGCAATGTAGGAAATAAAAGTAAGTAAGTGCAAGAGGAATGCCTTACATACTTTGTAACATTTCTTTGAATCGTCCACTTTCTTTAAACTTCAATCTGTGCCCTTCATTTTGAACATAGTACTGGTCTGTAGATATGCTCACCCAGTGCCTTGCAAATCATCAATGGAACTTCGTAAACTACATTTCCTTTTCATGTGTTTTAGAAGTAGAATAGATTTAAATAAAAAATAAAATGTTCAGAGCACTGTGTGGATTAAAGAGTAGATCTTAGTAAACATATTGGAGTCTGGTTTTGCTATCCATTTTAGTTAAGAAATATTGTACTTTCATTTGTTATGTTCTTTACCTAGTGTGTTCACTATCAAATGTAGTTAGTGTGTGGTTTCAGTTTCCTTTTGTTTGACTGATGGGATGCCTTATTTTAATTGAATTTGCTCTATCTTGTGATACTCCATTTTTATTGTGCTCAGTGATCGACTCCGCACAAAATGCATTTATTTGCTCTTCCACCTGCCTTTTACTTTAGTGTGCAAGAGCCATGCAACACTTCAGATTTGTTTTTGATGCACCTTTGGAGAGAGAAGTAAAGCTCTCTAGTAATCCATCCATAGATATATTTAATGTTATGTTTTGCTTTTTCTTCTCTTCTGTGATATTGAAGCTGTCTACTGTATTGGAAAAACACTGCTTCCCCAAATAAAACTTTGTTCTAAGTTGAAGAAATATTAAAATTATTTTGAACATTTGATGAGTGACATTTTTACCCACTTAAATCCCAAGCACTGAATGTGTTTTATTTTAGTGAATCTGGGAGGCATGGAAAAGATGAGAATGAAAAACCTGAAGATAAATAAGCAGTCACTATATTTAGTAAAAATATTACATTAGTATTTTCAAAATGGTTGGGATACAAATGGATAGATATAAAGCATTTGTTTGGGCTATGAGATTTGGACATTTCACATTCATGTTGTGATGTGCACGCAGATTCATGGAATCCAGTTCAATTAGTGCCATTTATGAGTTCAAGTATCCTCTGAAATTAAAGAAAAGAATTGTAATAGAATATGTTTGCCCGGGAATAAGTTCATTGACACAAAAGAGTAAACTAATACTCACGGAAGTTTGATTCTCATGAAAATCCAACATGAGCAGAATGAAACAATAACAAACAAGAATCCAACAGCTATGAGAAGAAGGCGGTTGAATTTAGGAGTAGTCGGGCTATGGGTCTGATTTAGAACAATGAAGCCCAAACCACCCAAAGTGAACATGAATGAGGAAGTCAGTCCTTCAATGACGTATTGGCCATTAACACGATGAGGTAGAATCGCCACCTAATTAAACCATATTAAGTTCATTTTACAAAATCAAAAACTAGGTAATTGTGGCGTCAGACTGGCTGTTTCAAAACAAATACGTACAGTTCTAGTTCCACGCTCATCAGTTACTGTCCCATACCCTGGAGTCTCTGTGATGATGTCATATATAACGCCTGCAAAAGAAAAGAAAACACTCACAATAAGGTTGAATGAATGACTAGGCTGATGGATGCAAAGTACGAAGTAAACACTGAGCACACTCAAAATCTAGGATGCTTGATCAAGGCAAGGTTGAGACCCTACAACACACCAATTTCAAAATTTGACAGATCATAAGATTAAATGGAGAAATTGCTTCACATCCTATCATTAAAGCAGTGCTACAATTCATAGCAATCTACAAACAATAACATTCACTGGAGAGGTAACCTATTCTAACGTAAACATACCTCCCGTTACCAAAAAATACGAAAGGAGCACCATAGCGTACACGCCCATGGAGGAAGGTTGACGAAACCATGATGGCCATTTAACTTTGATATTGGGAACTTCTAAAAGTTGATACGGTAAACTGTACAAAACTTCCATTTCGAAAATACGAGCCGGTACGCCGCTTCTGCTGACGTCTGAAACTGAATGTTGATGTTTGCGCAAGATGAATTTCTCCTCCTTACCAGCCGAGCTCGACTTTACAGTTCGACCAACTACTGAGAATGAATCACGCACACTCATAGTGTTGACTGTTTATTATCTTTGTGACCAGCCAATCGGTACCCACAAGAAACCCTGTTGTTAACACTAAGAACCCTCCATGGTTAAAAACAAAAAAATACCAGCAATATTTTCTTTTTATTTAATTAATTTAAGTTGGTAATAAGTTGGCGGACAAACAGAAGGAGTACAAACGCTTACGCTCAAAGGACGGCACCAATTACTTGCCTATACTCACTCAATGATAGAGTAAAGAGTAACAAAACTTATCAAAAATAGTCACCAAAACTCACAAATGAAGGTGGGGCCACACAGCTCCGCATGCTACAGCGATTAATTCCGGTTGACACAAAAAGGGTGCAACTCCATAATCACTCATGCAATAAGGAAATAAACAAACTCAAAGAACTGACAGCACTTTGCTATCAGATTGGTTTGGCTAACAATCCCCAGGCAACAGTGAGAATATTAAAACTGTACTACAACAAATAAATTGATTAGTTTGCCTGTTTTAGAGATGGATATGAAAATAGTCCAATATCCTTGTTGGTAATCACCAACAAAAATAATATAATACAACAAAAAATAAATAAAAATAGAATAACAAAAAAATCAAAATATTGAAAAATGTGAGCAACAAACTTAAAAAGTATGACATTTCATAAAAAGTACAGAGAAGCATAATGGTATATATCATATACATGATATAACAAAAAAATGAAAACTGAAGTGAAAATTCGCACCCTCAGTAATTCCACCAATTATGAGAAAAGAAAACTACATTTCAGAAATTATCATCATATACACATGTCCTCAATACCACCCCACCTTGCTTCACAGAGGAAACCTGGAGCAAGATCCTCCTCCTCGTCCTCAAATATCTCATTTTTAACAATATCTAGTGTGTCACTTTGGTAATTATATCCTAAAGCTTCATCATTGTACTCAGGAATTTCACTTTGATAATCAGGTGATTCATTACTAAACATTCCAATGGCAGACACTGCTGCTCTAGCGGCATCTTCACTAATGGTAAAGTCATCAGCAGTTGGGTTGTGAACTTTTGCATGTTCTGCAAGTGCTCCTGCAGTGAAAAATCTCATATCACAGCTTGGACAGCAGTATGGTCCCTGGTGGGGAGCACCATTCAGTAAGTCACCATGGGATCGTTGATGGAGCATCAGTTTGTGGTTTGATACAAATGACTTCACACAATATTCGCATTTAAATGGTTTGCCATTGTGCAGCATCATGTGTGTCATTAATCCTGACTTCTGGGGGAACCTATTGGCAGGCAAGAAGAGGGTTTTTAGTTTGATGGCAGTTAGTTATAAGCAAAAACATGAAGTTGGCCATAACATACCTTTGAGAACAGATGTCACATGAAAAAGGACGCTCACCCGTATGCACTCTGATGTGCTGTTTCAAAATAGAGCGAACAGCAAAACGCTTCTCGCATATATGACACTTATAAGGTCTTACACCAGTATGAACACGGAAGTGTCTTTCCAGATGAGATTTCTTTTTATATCTACGATCACATAAATTACAAAAAAATTGCCTGGAATCTAAATCATCATACTTCTTGTTAGGTTTCTTCTGAGCTGCAACAGAAAAAAGGACACAATATATGAAATTGATTTTCTTCCTTAGATCATCATAATGAATGAATGAAAGACTATACCAACCTATTATGGGCTCATTTGTTTTGCTCTGGGAACTATAATCAGACCAGAATCCAGAATCCTGAGAGTTGCCAATATTTGGTTTACTGATTTCTATCTTGTTGTCATCTAAATAATTATCTTCAACCATATATGAGTTTGGAGAGTACCTTTTGGATTCATTATTCCACATGTTAATGTTTTGGAAATAAGATGTATCCACAAACTCAGGTGAATTTGACTGGAAAAGGTAAAAAGACTCAGTAAGTTACTTTCAGGGACCTCACCTACAGATTAAGATTCTCACTATACAAGCTTACAGGTGAAAACATTCTTGCTTCTGAATTGACAGTAACAGTTGATTCACTATCACAATCATGACTACGATCAACAGCCTGCCCAAGTAAGATATTTCGCAGGTGGGATGAGTCATCAAAAACAGCAGGTGACTCGGATTCTTCGGTTTGCTTAAAACAGGAAAAATTGATATGTGCAGTGGCTTATCAAGTTGAATGGGATTAAAGGTAAAGAACAAACTGCTTACAACTAATGGAAGATCCAGTCCTCGAAGTGTGATCAGAGCTAAAGATAATTCGGATATTGAATGCTGTTGCATTTGATGAGCGTGAAGCTCCTCAGCATTTTCCAGTAATACATCACAGCAGCTGCAGGGTAATTGTCCTTCAGAGGCAGCAGCAACAGCTGCCACAGCTGCTTCAACATCATCTGCTTCTAACTCCAATTCGAGCCCAAGTTCTAGCTCACAGGGATCCTTGTTGGCACAGTGTAAAAAATAATTTAATAGAAAATTCTCAAAATTTACAAACACAGTTTTGAAGGTTTTTAAAGAGATTAAGCGGTCAGCTGTAAGAAGTAGTAAAACGACATCGCTACCCCAAGCAGAAACACGATCTGGAGCGAACGTTTGTCATCAACTGACTAATTATATTTTGCGAGCAGAAGACAACGAAACAAACCTCTTGTTTCAGCTCCCTCATGATTTCACACAATGCAGCACAGATGAGCTACAGCTACAGGTGTGGGGCAGTAACTGAAGTACCACTCCTCGATGGCGTTTCACAACCGCCACCATGATCAATTACGGGTTCAATTGTCCGTGGTTCGATAAGCCCCCAGCCAAAGACGCAATTTCGTATTTTTCAATGTGACCAACCTAGAGCAAAACTTCACACAGCAGGTACTTACTTTGGCAATACCACTAGCTATCTTCCAGGGGTTAAGAGAGTACTCTCGTAACTAAGATTTCATAATAAAAATACCCGGGCTTGAAATAATATACGACAGATCACACAGTGGTTTTGTTCAGCTCAATAGAGGAAATGACAGGTACATGATTCCGTTGTGTTTCCTAGCCTGTGTGTCTGATCTGGACCGTTCGCGCCGTTGGCAAATCCAGCGGGGGAGGTCTAGGGTTATGAACGAAACGCGGACGAACCTTCCGAATCGCTCCTTACGTCTGAATCTGAATGTGCCCCGTATTGTTGTAAGGCCACAGCCTTGCCTCAGCTGCAGCTGATCTAAACTTCATTGGTCAGGTGCCAGTGGACTGGCTCTAATGGCTGCCCGTGCGGCTTTGCTGAAATTCCCTCAGTTGGCCTCGGCTTTCGCGGCTGCGAGCAGACACATCAGCGGTATGGTTGGCTGCCGCTGCTGCAGCTTCTCGGGGCCAAGGCAGGCCAAGGCAGGCCGCGGCCACAGGGAAGGCCCAACTTACCAGAGTGCAATCCTCAGGCAGGGCCCCCGCGAAGCCGTCGGCTGCGGATGTCGCCAGGGCTCAGAATCCATCATGTCCATCGCCTCCGGTGCCGCCACCGACGTGTCCGCCCAGGACGCCTGCCATCCCACCTTCGCCGCCCCCGTCCGACCCGCCGCCACCACCGCCGCCCGCCCCATGGGGTACGCCCGGCTCTCAGGGCCCGGGACGCAAGACCACGACGACGACCCCGTCCAGCGCGGCGCCGAGCAGTGCCTCTGGGCTCAAGGGCGCGGTGGTGGCAGTCATCGGCGCCGTCGTGGACGTGCATTTCCACGACGGGCTGCCCAACATCCTGAGCGCCTTGGAGGTGCCCGGCCGGAACCCGCGACTCGTGCTTGAGGTGGCGCAGCACTTGGGTACGTCGGACTACGTCGGACTTGCGCAGTGTCTTTGACGCCATCGGTCGTCGGTACCGTTTCAACTGGGACCTTGCCGCCTTGCCGCCTCGCGCAGGGGAAGGCACGGTGCGGACCATCGCCATGGACGGCACGGAGGGCCTGCAGCGCGGCCAGGAGGTCCTGGACACGGGCAAGCCCATCAGCATCCCCGTGGGCACCGGCACGCTGGGCCGCATCATCAACGTCATCGGTGTGCCGTCGTGCCGCCGTCAACACGCAACTCGCAGTCGGGCCTGCCCTGCCGGCGTCCAGCAGGGCCTTCCCTTCTCAAACTTCTCCTCTTGCAGGAGAGCCGATCGACGAGCGGGGCCCTATCGAGACCACCATGTTCGCCCCGATCCACGCCGAGGCCCCCGAGTTCGCCGAGATGAGCGTGGAGCAGGAGATCTTGGTGACCGGCATCAAGGTGGTCGACTTACTCGCGCCGTATGCCAAAGGAGGGAAGATTGGTACGTGGCACTGGCTCAAATGCATTCCAGCAACAATGCTGCCAACCTCTCAGCAGCGACGACTACTTTGCTTCCTCGATTTTGCCATGGTTATGCAGCTTGGTTTCATCCAATTTTTCTTCAACAGGTTTGTTTGGCGGTGCTGGCGTGGGCAAGACGGTGCTCATCATGGAGTTGATCAACAACGTGGCTCGTGCGCACGGCGGCTACTCCGTGTTCGCGGGGGTCGGGGAGCGCACCCGCGAGGGCAACGATCTGTACAAGGAGATGATTGAAGGCGGTGTCATCTCCCTCCAGGACAATACCTCCAAGGTGCTGACGCCGTGCTGGCGCCGCGCCACGGGTTAGGTCAGCGGTTCCCAACCTTGGGGTCGCGACCCCAAATGGGGTCGCGAAAAAATTTCGAGGGGTCGCGGCGAGGTGGCTAGCGTCGCCTGGGGTCGCGGTGTTTTCCCGGCTGGCCCACACGCCGAGCACTGGCTGCTTAAATGCCGCAAAGTTGATCAAAACGGTCACAAATGTCTGTAAAAGATCGTGTTTTGGGCCGACTTTAAGCATCCACTGCGTCTGATCCGAGGCGGTAAATCGTCCTCCCTCAACGGGCAATTGGTCTTTGGACCTTCCTTTTGCATGCCTTTGTTACGGAGTGTGATTATCTGCCTTAGTTTGGAAGCAGTACTGCCGCAAAGTTGGTCTAAACGGTCACAAATGTCTGTAAAAAAAATCGTGTTTTGGGCCGACTTTAAGCATCCACTGCGTCTGATCCGAGGCGGTAAATCGTCCTACGTCAACGGGCAATTGGTCTTTAGACCTTACCTTAGCATGCCTTTGTTACGGAGTGCGATTATGTGCCTTAGTTTGGGAACAGTTTTGCCGCAAAGTTGATCAAAACGGTCACAAATGTCTGAAAAATCGTGTTTTGATCAACTTTGTGGCAAAACTGCTCCCAAACTAAGGCAGATAATCGCACTCCGTAACAAAGGCATGCAAAAGGAAGGTCCAAAGACCAATTGCCCGTTGAGGGAGGACGATTTACCGCCTCGGATCAGACGCAGTAGATGCTTAAAGTCGGCCCAAAACACGATTTTTTAAGACATTTGTGACCGTTTTGATCAACTTTGCGGCAATACTGCTCCCAAACTAAGGCAGATAATCGCACTCCATAACAAAGGCATGCTAAAGGAGGGGTCGCGTGGGGTCGCGAAATTTTTCCTGGGGGTCGCGGAAAGTTTTGGCTACAAATTTGGGGTCGCGAACCGCAAAAGGTTGGGAACCGCTGGGTTAGGTTCAACTCCCTCCCTCGACTTCCCTTTTCCCCTCTGGCCTGAAGGTGGCGCTGGTGTACGGCCAAATGAACGAGCCACCAGGAGCGCGCGCGCGCGTGGCCCTGACCGGCCTCACCCTGGCTGAGCACTTTCGCGACCACGAGGGCCAGGACGTACTGCTGTTCATCGACAACATCTTCAGGTTCACCCAGGCGGGCTCCGAGGTGTCTGCTCTACTGGGCAGGATCCCCTCAGCCGTCGGGTACCAGCCAACGCTGTCCACGGACATGGGGGCCATGCAGGAGAGGATCACGACCACCAGGAAGGGCTCCATCACCTCGGTGCAGGTGCGTGGGACGCCGTGGGGGCATGCGACCCGCCACACGCGCTTGTATACGGTTTGGTCGCGTCGGCGGGCCGGCGCGTCCATGCCCCCACACCGAGCCCCACACTGTAAGCCTGTCAGCCGGGGCAGGTAGGCAGCCCAGCGCGCACGCACGCGCCGCGATGTCTCGACGGCGTCCATCGCGCTGCAGGCCGTGTACGTCCCCGCCGACGACCTGACGGACCCCGCCCCCGCCACGACGTTCGCGCACCTGGACGCCACTACCGTGCTGTCGAGGGGCATCGCGGAGCTGGGCATCTACCCCGCCGTGGACCCACTGGACTCGACGTCGCGATGCATGGACGCCGACGTCGTGGGAGAGCTGCACTACAGGACGGCGCGGGGCGTGCAGAAGCTTCTGCAGGTTGGTGGGGCGGCGCCGGCGGCGCGGACAGGGCAATAATGCCGACGAAACCTGCTACTCCAATGTCTCGTGCCGGCAGGACTACAAGTCGCTGCAGGACATCATCGCCATCCTGGGCATGGACGAGCTCTCCGAGGAGGACAAGCAGACGGTGGCGAGGGCGCGCAAGGTGCAGCGCTTCCTGTCGCAGCCCTTCCAGGTGGCCGAGGTGTTCACGGGGCAGGCGGGCAAGCTGGTGGCCCTGGAGGACACCATCAAGGTGGGTGTAGCAATGGTTGTGAGGCACCCAACAAAAAACAAAAACAAACATCATCAAAACAACAAAACGACTGGGAGACGATTTTGCGGCTGGAGGCACTGGAGGCCCCCAACACCTCGGCCAGTCCCGCCAGCCCGTTACGCTAACAACCTGGTAACCATGGTAACCACAGCGCCGCGGCAGCAGCGGCAGCCTCTGTCATTACCTCTGTGGTCGTTGTCGCTGTCGGAAACGAATCCGTGGCGATTTTGTCACGGCGCCAATAATTGGTGCAAGTCCCGGGGCACGTGGCCGCGGCCGCGACGGCCTGCAGGCTGCATGCTGGCCAAAGCTTGATCCCCCCCCCCCCTGGCCGCCAGTGCCTCCGCCACTGGACGCCGCTGCCTCGTGTGAACCGCGTGGCGTGACGCCGCTCGGGAAGAGGCGGGCCAGGGCAGGCCCAGGGCAGGCCGTGGCGCGCCGGGCCAAAGTGTTGATTTTCTCGCCCGGCCGGCCGATCGACCCATCGGCCCCTGTTCGTTCACTGTTCTCCCTCGATGATCGGCGGCCGCGGCCCGGTGCCCTGCCCGGTCAGTTAGGCCTCGCCTCGGGTCGAGCGGTTCAGCCACCGGCCCGTTAATTCCACGTTGCGCACTCGGGGAGGCGGTTTCAATGAACTCGCCTTGTTTGAATGAGAGAGAAAGGGGGGGGGGGATTTGGGCGCGCGTAGTTCGCGCCAGCCGTGAGAAAGACACGGTCGACGCGGACACAGCCAGGGAGTGCGTGGCCGCGCCATCTTGTCACGCACTTCAGGCATGCACACTGCAAGAAGAAAAGGCGAAAAAGGAAGAAAAACACTCGTTGAAACTACTCGTTGCCCCTGAATGATGAGGCCCCGCTTCGTGCGGCCGATCCACACCAGCATCGCTCCATTTTCTCACTTACCAATTACCACCTTGGACGCCCGTCAGCAGCTCAATCAGACTAGCAAGTACCAATTTTCACGCTCGGAGCGAGGAGCTGTGAAACGTATCCTGTCGATTGAATAGGCAAACAACACGTCTGGCGACGGGCGTGGCGGGGCGTGGCCGAAGCAGCGCAGATTGCGTACTGCCGGGCTGTACGGACCGTACAGGGAGAGGAAAAATGGACGAGCTCCTCCGGCCTCGAGGTGGAGTGCCCCGCGTGCCCCGCGTGCCCCGCGTGTCAAAAAGCCGGGAGGAGGCTGTAAATCCGGGGCGCAGGACGCACTTTGGAGACCATAAACGCGTGAATGGCCCGCACTCCGCACTGCCCCGCACTGCCCCGACTGCCCCGGTGGACAAGGAGCTGCAGCTGGGCCACGGCCGGAGGGCCGGCCGGGCAGGGCAGCGTGCTGCTGGCTCGGCTGGCGCCCGGGGCACAACCTCAACAAGACCAAGGGCAAGGACAGTCCGGTCCAGTCGTCCTCAAAAAACAAACAGGGCTGCCAACGGCTTTACAATCGCCTTGGCGATCTTGACGCGTTCGAACACGGGCTCTGCCTCTTTTCTGGCGCTGCCCGATGCCAGCCTCGGATAGGCCCTTGTCGACGGCTCCCTGCTGTAGACTCATTCCGAGAGTCGTTTTCGTCGCGCTGACTGCCCTCTCGCACTCACGGGGCGTCCCGTGCAGGTGCGAGAGAGTCAGAGCGACGAAATCTCTCGGAATCAGTCTGCGGGGGACATAATCACTGTGATTAAACGCGGCGCGGTCTAGTTGGCCACTTCGTGCTCCGCGCGGCTCCGCCAGGCTCCGCGTCCCGGACGCCACCAAGCCGGTCGTCAGCGACGCGTTTTTCACTCGGCGGGCGTGAGCCATCCACACCCGGGGTGTGGACTCGTCTAGCTGTCATAATGTGGATCGGAAATTTCGGGGTACGGCGCCCGTTGGTATGCGTGGCCCGAGGACTTGGGAGGCGTCCCTGGCGGGGCGGGGCGGGGCGGGGCGGGGCGCGGAGGACGCCGAGGAAGTCTTGGTGTCCGACATGCCGGGCATGCACTCCGAACAACGACGCCCGGCTGCAGTTCAATTTCAAAATGCACGCACAGCACTCTGGTCATGCTTGGAAACGGCCGCGTTTACCACAAACAACAACAACAACAACAACAACAAAAGAACTCCCTAAAACGAGAGGAGAAAAGAAAGGAGCAAATCGGTTCGTGGGTTTATAATAACACGCGTGTCTGGCGCACGCACGGCCGTGCCCCGGCACAGGCTGATGGAGCCATCGGCACCTTCGCCACCATCGGCGTGTGGTGTGAGTTCGATCACGCCCGGCGTACTTACTGCGTGCTGCGCGCCGCAAAGCAAAGTGGTCAGGACGCCTGCGAGGTAGGCACCACCGCGGCACGGCAGTGCAACGGGGCGGCCCAGCTCGCTGTTGGCAGGCGCTCCGAGGCTGCCAGCCGGCGGCGGCGGCTCCATTGGCCGCTCTCCCGGGATTTGTTTCCCCCTTTATCTGCAGGGGTATAAATACCCGGGCGGCCACGCACCGCCGGCTTATCGCGCCGCACTTCATGGACGGTTATTTTGGAGTGAATTTATTTACACCCCGGTGCCATTGTGGCCATCAGACAGCGACATGGCCGTGGCACGGCCGTGGCAGGGGCTGTGGCGGCGCAGCGGTTTATGGCCCCCATGTCGGGCGGGCTGGCCAGGGGCAGGCCAGGGGCAGGCCATTACGGACGACACCTCGCTGCCGTGCGCCGGGAGCGTGGGACTGTGGGGGCCTCAATGAGGGCCTCAGTGAGGGCCTCGGTAGGGCCTCGGTAGGGCCTCGGTGAGGGCCTCGGTGAGGGCCTCGGTAGGGCCTCGGTGAGGGCCTCGGTGTGGGAGCTGGCCGCGAGTGCCAGCCCGGCAGCGTGAACGTGACGCGGTGGTGAACGTGGCGCCGCGTTCGGAGCGTGGATTCGGCGAGCACTGCTCGTCGGCTCCTTTCCCAGCGGGACTGGCGCGCTGGCTGGCAGCGAGCTGGCAGCCGGGACGCCGTTTTGGGTCCTGATTGCCGCTAATTCGGCGCGCGGGCTGCGCCAAGGGCTGCGCCGTCGTCCCGCTGTCTCCCTCGCACACGATGCCCGTCCCGGCGTCCCGCAGGAGTGCGAGGGAGACAGTGGCCAAGTGGTGGGCGCTGACTGCGGGTGTAGCGTGCGGTAAAAGCCATCCGGCACGACGCGTGCACGCCGCCACCACGCCGCCACACCGCGCACAGTTAGGCCCATTAGGACTGCGGGGCTGCGGTCCGACGGAGGAAGGGTCCACCCGCCCCGCCCCGCCCCGCCCCGCCCCGCCCACCCCGCCGTCACGAAACGGGGCTAGGCCTTTCAGACCCCCGTCGACAACGAGCAGCAAGTAGCCCGCCAAATCTCACCAACTTTCATCCTCCTCTCTGTTTCCAGGGTTTCCAGGAAATCCTGGACGGCAAATGGGACCACCTGCCCGAGGTGGCCTTCTACATGGTGGGATCCATCGACGAGGTGTCAGCCAAGGCAGAGACCCTCGCCAAAGACCTGCCCTAGGACGCCGTCGAGGAGCCCCACCGGCTCCACCGCACGCTTGTCCGCGTTCTCAACTCGGGACTGGAGCGATTTCCGTTCGGCTGTCACCTTGTTCTCCGGGCACGGCGAGCTGTACTTGAGCAGGGCATCGTTGAATGGCTGGGGGAGGGCTCCTTGCGGTCGGCCGTGGCCGAGGCCGTGGCATCCCGAGGCACCGCCTGGGCACTGCCAGACCGCAGCCCATTCAAGTCTTGTTAGCGATTTTGTGTTGTACTATTACGGCGCGCAAGCCTGGCAAGCCATTTCCTGCCCGCTCCGCCGCTTCATTCACAACCCGACGACGCCACATCAGCCTTTATTTATCCCTTTCGCTTTGTTTTTCTTCCCCACGGGATGAGTATCTCCGGCGTCTGGCGCCGCGGTTGCTCCAGCAGCAACAACAGCAACAACAACAACAATGAAACAATGCTGGTGCTCGCGTCCCTCATTGGAAGCGTCGTCGTCGCGGCGCTCGCAACGCTCGCGTGGAGCGCGTGGATTGACAGGTCGGTCGACAGGTCGGTCGACAGGTCAGGCCAGTGGACAGGGCGTCGACAGGGCGGCCAGTCCATCGACAGGCTGCCCATTCATCACCTCGGGGTACTGCATGGAGGCCCTTCCCTTCCACGGACCAGTCTCAGCCCCCGTCCCCCCGCCCCCTCCTCCTTTCCTCGCCTCCCGCCCATTAACTCGGCCCGTATTTACCCAGGCATTTATTTATTAAGCATCTGATAAAATGGAACCAGTGAGAAATCGAGAATGATTAATTTCCCCGAGTGCGTGATCGAAAGCCCGGCGCGGGGCGTGGCGGGGCGTGGCGGGGCCCCCACGGCGTCTCGGGCTTGAGCAGTGGCCGGGGCCAGCCCTCGCAGGAGCCAGCCCAACCTGCAGACTGATTCCGAGAGTCAGTTTCGTCGCCCTGCCTCTCTCGCCCCTCCTCGGACGAGAGCGCAAGAGAGGCGGAGAGATGGAAACGACTCTCGGAATCAGTGTGCTGGCGGCTGGCGCTGGCGCGGCTGGCGCCCGGAGACTTGAACGCGCGAGACGCACAAGAGGAACCGGTGAAGAGAACCCCTTCGCCATTTTCCATTTTCCCCACTTTCCTGTGGACTCACAGCTCCTGCATGCTTATGAAAAACCCAAAACAAAACAAAAAAAAACTAGACAAAGGTGTCCTGAAACGAATGAATGAATGAATGAATGAATGAATGAATGAATGAATGAATGAATGAATGAATGAATGAATGAATGAATGGATGGATGGATGAATGAATGGATGGATGGATGGATGAATGAATGAATGGATGAATGGATGAATGAATGAATGAATGAATGAATGAATGAATGAATGAATGAATGAATGAATGAATGAATGAATGAATGAATGAATGAATGAATGAATGAATGAATGAATGATTGAATGGATGGATGGATGGATGGATGAATGGATGGATGGATGGATGAATGAATGAATGGATGAATGAATGAATGAATGAATGAATGAATGAATGAATGAATGAATGAATGAATGAATGAATGAATGAATGAATGAATGAATGCACGAACCGAACGACCGAAAACGACTCTCGAAATGAGACTGCTGGCAGGGGCGTGACACGGCGAGGCGATATCCAGATCGAGATCGTGGTCCATCGTGCGGCTCGGCCATTCGGTCGTGCACGCGTGCCGGGAAGCACAGAGACGCGACTCACAAAAATCAACAACATATTAAGGCCCTAGACCGCGCTCAAAAACAACATCACGACAGTGTAAAACAAATAAAAGAAAGAATTTGGACGAAGTTTGTCGATGCCGAAGCCCAGCATCCGTGACTGCACAGACTGCCCCTGGCGCCATTTACCCCGACGGGGGAATTACCCGAGTGCCGTACCCGATTACCTCGGCTGGCCCCGCGCAGGAAGTGTGGGGGTGGGGCCCCCTGGCAGCCCCGCTGGCAGCCCCGCGAGGCCCCACCGGGGCGCGACCGGCCCGGACGAAAATCGATGAGAGATCAGGACAGGGCGCCCCGGGCGCTGCCGCGCTGCCGTTCGGGAACGCGGCCACAACTCGGGCCGAGCAATGATCCGTCGCTACTCCTCGCCATCGGAAGACACAGCGCACGGAGTATTGACAGCGAGTTGTTGCAAACACTATCCGCTTTTCACTACTTCTGCCGCGCGCACTGCGTGCACTGCTTCACGGTACTCTTCGTGTTTGGACGAGGAATGTCTCATTCACGTTGCGTGGCGCGCCCTTCTGCAAACAAGGTAATACTAAAAGTGGGGAAAGACAAAAAAAGGGGGAAAAAGTGGTCGTGCCGTCTCACTTGCTCGTCAATCCGAGGCGCATGCGTGTTCGACACGACAACACTATAATTTGAGGTTAGTTGGTGTCTACCTGTTCGTGCTGCCCCCTTCCCTTCTTCACCTGCAGCGGGGACTGGCTGGCGCCTCGCTGCGCGCTGTGCCTCGCTGTGCCTCGCAGCCCGGGGTACCCTCGCTGACCACCAGAGGTGAGGCGACCACCAGGTTGTTAGGGCTTGCTCGTCGAGTAGAGCCCGGGCGAGGACGTGCTGCGGCCGTGGACTGCAGGAGGAGGGGGATACCTGGTCACCCCACACGAGTCCTCATTAACTCTTGGACCTGAATCCGGGCATTTATCCGGAGTGTCGAGACGCTGCCCGAGGCCGGCCGCGGCCGGCCTACAACGAGCAGCCAGGCCCGCCGTCGCCACCACCGCCACCACCGAGGAGGAGTTCGTGCCGATATCGTCGCGGCGCCACCGCGGGCCGATGTCAGGCCGATGTCAGGCTGATGTCGGGCCAAAGTCCGGGCGACTATGCCAGGGTCGTCGCCCCGCAAACACTCGCTTGTCTTGCCGTCCCGTCCTTCCGTTGCCCCCCGTTGGCGTCGCGGCTTCGCATCGCGCGTCCTCGCCAGTCGTCGCCTGACTCCCGAAAACGTGTCGGGGAACACGCACATTAGAGGAGGGCTTGGCCGCACCGCGGCGCACCAATGCCACGCCGATCAGACATTCCGATTTTCGGGTCGAGCGTGTATGACGCTGCTGCGGTGGTAGCGAACGGATCGTAATCGTGTTTGGTAGGGTCATCATCACTTTGAGGCGCGCGCACGCACGCACGCACACACTGACACCGGTTCTTCCTGAATGGCCGTGTAAAGCCACCGTGACGCGTTTCTATAAACCATTACTCATTACCCAGCCGGGCGGCCGGGGCTGCGGGGCTGCCGGACCCGCTGGAGTAGAGTTAGGTGTTTTTATGGCGCGCTTGCTGTCTTGTTAGGGGCGTGGCGGGGGCGTGGCGGGGGCGGGCCGGGGCGGGGGGCGGCGCGGGGCCGGGCGCTGGCGCCGTCTGGGTGTCTGGCCGCAGACGTACAGCCTCCCTTGGGCTGCGCGCACTGCCTGGCACTGCCTTGGCGGCCTTAGGGGAGGTGCCCAGCATGCTCTGTCTCTCTCGCACTCAGGGGCGCTCCGTTGTGGTGCGAGAGAGGCAGCGATGGGCAAGGGGTGTGCTCCGGGTGATTCATCCCACCCGGCTGGCCTGGCTGGCCGCATGGCGTGCTCGTGACCCGAGATGGGATCGCACGCAGCCTGGAATCTTGCGGCCAACAGGTGGGCGTGCGTGCGTGTGTGTGTGTGTGTGTGTGTGTGTGTGTGTGTGTGTGTGTGTGTGTGTGTGTGTGTGTGTGTGTGCTGTCTCCCACGTCTGCCCGTGCAACTAGTGACCCGGCTCATTTTGGTAGCGAGTCCGCACGGTGGCTGGCCGGCCCGGGTTCGATTCCGCGAGCAGTTCTACCCAGTTCGTCCCGTTCCGTTTTCCGTCTTTATTTCACATTTTTTTTAATTTGCTCAATTTTACTTTCTCTTAAGAGTCTTAAAAACGCCCAAATCTCGAGATGATCGCGCACCCGACGAGCGAGAGCGAGAGAGAGGGAGCGATGCTTGCGGGGCGTGGCCGGCGAGCCCGAATTTACACCCAGCACTAAAACACACAGCGCGTTCCTGGCGTTCTCCGCGTCGCCACACCGTATACTTATCCCCACACCCTCCGGGGCCTTCGGGGCCTCCGGGGCGCCGGGGTGAAGGGGAGGGGGAGGGGGGCTGCTTCCGGAAGATACCCCGGAGGCCCCGGAGTCTGGAAGGAGATCATTCATCATTCCTGAAGAGTGTGCTTTATTCCGAGCACAGGAACCACCTCGGCGCAATGCAGCGGAGCTGCTCGCAGTAAAGCACAGCTGCAGTCGCGGCCGAGAGCGTTAGCGCCGCTGGTACGAAACCCGGTAACCAGGGTTCGAGTACTACCACACGATTTTTGTTTTAGTTATGTTTTTTTCTCCAGTGGTTGAAAGGTTGGACTCGTCGAAAAATGTAGTCGGGCCTCATTTTGGAGGTCTGGGCCTCATGCCGCGCCTCTCCATCCTCGACGAAGGCGCCACGATTGCCCCTCCCCGCTCTGGCACCGCCGACACCGCCACCGCCGCCTCGGCGTTCGCGTTCGCGCCGCTCGTGCATCGCTTTCCCGTGTTCCTCATTTTCCAGGCTCGCGGTTCCGCGGCAGGCGGCGGCGCCGGCAGGCCGAGGCAGCTGGGTCGTCTCTCTCGCACTCATGGGGCGCTCCGTGGTGGTGAGAGGGAGACAGAACTCGATGGCTGAGCCGGGCGCGGCGTGACTCACTCGAAATGTCATTATCGAATGGTCGACGGGTCGGCCAAAGCCACGACGGCAGCCCGACGCCGGGCCGACGCCACGTCCGCGGCGCGCACTTACATCTAGCACGGACTGCGGTCGGCGGCCCGGCGGGCTTAGCTGGCTAGCTGGGGTGAGGTGGCGGGCCCTGGGGCCCGTGGGGCCGCGGCCCGCGCCGTCCGCGCCATCAGGAAATTGAAACAATTACAGGGGGTTCGCGAGCACGCTGCTTTGCTTCGCCTGCTTCGCCGGCTAGCCTTGCCTTCAGACCGCATACTTCCCAACTCCGGCCCCGCGGCTGCGCGGTGCGCGCCCGACGCGCGCTGTGGCCCGGCCGTCGGGCGCCAACGCGTTCTAATGCCAAAGGGTCGTTTCGGCGCCCTCTCCCTGTCGCACTTTTCTGGCGATCC